TTCCTCGACGATGGATTACATTCCTTGTTCTTTCGATGCCTTCATCGACAATTTCTTGGCGTGTTACCGACCCTGCTATTCGGACTATCTCCAGCAGTTGGTCACCAACGGGACCTGTGGCACCAACTACACCACCCTAGCCGCCAGCACCGACCGCTCCGATCTGGAATGCATATGCGAGAACGCGGCCGGGGTCTCTAATAACTGGACGTCGCAGGTCCTAGAGTGCACACACTCTTCGTGCAATGGGACATTCAACTACACTCGGTGGGCAGACAGTATGTGGAGCTACGACAATATGTGCTATTACGCTTCAGGTATCTACTCCTAAAAGCTTTCGCCCTCGAACCTCCCTCTTCTTTGTCCCTTCGCCTCCACATTTCCCTTTTTTTGGTAGTGTGGCGAGCAGTAACTGACTTGGAAGAAAAAGGTACGGCGGGTTACAAAACATGCTCCTCTTCGGCATCATCCAAGACAACATCTAGCGCTGGGCTGTTAATTGGGCTATTAGCGCTGAGTCAAATATTGTTTCTTTGAGCATAAAATGGGAAGAAGAGACTCTAAAACTCCGGTTTCGGAAAAAATGGTTACTCCAAATGCCTTTGTTCCTATTTCAGACTTCGTCATCCAGGTCAGGGTAGGATACGGCAGGTTCCAGTGCTTTGTTAGCCCTTTCCTGCTTTTGTGGAAGCTTTGTCGTTACCTCTGGGTTGGTAACTGCTAGTGCATCTAAAACGTGATCGAAGGTCCTTCGAATGGCCCTGCTCATGGAGGAGAGTGGAGAGGCAATACACCAACATTAAACTACTGTATACTAATGCGAACTCTCTTCATAATAAAAGGTACACGCCCGGTGGGGTTGACACAGATACTGTACGCGCGAGTGCGCTGCTGTCAGCAAAATACACAACTTTGAAGCCTTACATTACAATAATGTTCTCGACGTTCAATTCGCCATGAAAAACCTGCAAGTTAAACAACAAATTCGTGTTCATTCTGATTGTAGAAAAACATACAACCTACTCTGGTAATGACAATAGCAGCGTATTCAGACTCATTCACGTCCATCACACGCTCGTCAATGGAACAATCAAAGATGACGGATATTTTCCTCCAGTATACACCACATGCCGGCCTCTATTGAGGTTCTTTGGGCCCTTCTTCAAGGCTGGGTACTCGGGGAGAATGGGGTCATGCCCCTTGATTTCCAACCTCAAGGACTCACCTTCATCGAATACAATACCCCCAGCCCAAATGGGGATCCTGAGCTCCACAACATCTCCAGGAGGTATCTTTTCCGATTTATCATGAGGGAAGAAAAGTTCTGTCGGCTCTTGATTCTCCTTTCTACTTTCAAGCATATCGGGCTCCTCGGTTGTGGCTGCTCGCTTAGAAGCCCGGAGCCGTCCACTTGGTCCAACATATTTGTAGATATTCTCATCTGGAATCATGTCGGGAGTCGTTCCAGGTTTCTGATGCTCAAATGGAATGTTGTAGTTGAGCAATGCATTACCAGCACGATCTAGCTTCCGGATAATCACGTATACGTCCATGTCGTCTAAGTCCGCGCATGACATATAGAGCTTAACCTGTAAGCAATTAGCGTTTCCGAAGCTTTATGCTGGCCGCCGAGCTGCTATTTGGCTAACCTGGGAGCTACCTATTAGTTCAGTAGTCTCGGCAAAGGTCAGGGTAAAATGCGCCCCATCGTCTTCCCACATATCGGACTGATAAGAGGCAGAGGCGCTATCACTGGGTGGCTCGGGACGTACTGTCCCTGCAGCACTCCCATTCGTCTCACCTGCATCAAGATAGAATGTTCTATACTGCACCCGGGACGGGGGGTATTTGTCCTCCGCCCGATAACTGATTGGAGGCTTGTTATATCTCAATAAGGAGAGGCGGACCTTGGGAGTGAACTGCCAGCCGTTGTTTTTGCCAAGAAGGAAGTGGTCCAAAAATCGTTGCAGATCGTCATTAGCTAGTGGCTGGTAGATGTCGAACCACTCCTGGGTGGGATGAATCCGTAGCCTGAAAACCAAAGTTAGTGACATACAAAAATCATATAGTAGTCGTTAAATGTCAAGTCCTACCACTTTTTATCGGACCCTGCATACTTCCACGCCCGCAAGGACCCTTCGGTGTGCACGCCCGTTGAGTAGCTAGCTAGAATATACATGGGGATATTGATCTCCCGAAGCCGTGGTCTCTTATCTTCCCAGTATGCATTCATGAGGGGATACTTCTCGATCATTGTAGAAACATCTTCTCGTAGAGCTCTGCCATTGAACTCCTTCAAAAGGAGCTCCCAGAACATAGTATTGGGAATGCCTCCACGACAGATACTTTCACGATAGAGATCGCCTAGTCCTTCCCATGGAGCTATGGCCTTCAGATGCGGAGGCTTCTCAGCCGCAATAAACCTGAGGCATCGTGAGCTTTGCGAACCCATGTACACTTTGCAGAAAAGCCAATCTAGCTATTGGAGTAACTCACCACTGAGCAATAGCCAGCCATGAATTTCCTACAAGCGCCACATTTCCATCGCACCAAGACTGCTCGGCAATCCACTCGATGGTGTCGTAACCATCTCGACCTTCCTGCGTACCGAAGATGAATATATCACCCTCGGAATCGAAGCATCCCCGTGCATCAACATTAACGACGATGTAACCACGGGGACACCACTCCGCTGGATCCGGCGCCTCGAATTTTTCGAGCCCGCTCAAGGAGCTCTTAGGTACGCCTAACCAGGTAAAGCTGGTTGTCTGATGATGACCTAGAAGAACACAATTAGGTTTGGATTCACTTCTCGAGACATGAAGGCTGAGAGGTACGAACCACTTCCTGTTTTCCCGTACGGACTCCACGGCAGAAGTGCGGGCAGCGGAACTCCATCTTTGGCCAGCGGGCGGAAAATATCACCACGCAGGGTTGTCCCGTCTCGCATGGTAATCGGAACATCCTTTTCCCATATTATTGGCTCACTCAATGTACGGAACCCTGGCTCGCGCTGCCATCCCTTCCGGAGAATGACTTTTGTTGAGGGACGGAAACTTGTCCAGTAATTGTGAAAGCCGCGGTTGGATGGCGTAAAAGTCACGTCGATGCCGCCGATTTGGTGGGACATATTGACTAGTTGATTGACAGGTCGGTGTGTAGTACTACAAGGAGGGTGTCTGATATGAACGAAGTAGATGGCATCCGTAGTCCACTTCTCGTTTATAATGGGGACAATCCTCTCCACTTACCGATTCCCGAAAGCTTCGTTGCCGTTTTCCGATTTTCCTTCGCCGTGGGGGCTCCTGAAGGAGTTCATGCCATGTCAGGCTTCGGACTGGAACTGTTGGAGCCGAGGTCCGGTAATACTTTCGTCTAATTTGATTTTTGCAGTTCAACTTTCTTGCGATCATCTCTCGCATACCGCCATTTAGTAAATCTCTACTACCTGCTCCGACACTTCTATATGCTGTTCTAGCTCCACTGTTGGTGTCCGGATGGAGGTCCCGAAAGCTTTCTCATGTTCGTGGGCTATCAAAATGTCTCATAAATTGTAGAAATGGGTTCGGGTGATTTATTTTATTGGGGTGAGGGCATCTTGGGACATTCTTTGCGGATGGCAAACACGGCTCGCCCCGGCTCAAGCACCGCTGACACGGCTTGAGAGAGCAAAACGAGTACGATATGAGCTGGCTGGAGAGTGGTGGAGGGGTGGTTGACACAGCAAGTAGACAAACGTGAAGCTGTCCGCAGGATGGGTGTTATTCCCCGCAAATGCGGCGAATTGGTGGAGTCAGCGCTGTCCCCCACTCCTTCAGCGTCGGAAATAACCGTGGAGAAATATTTCAATCCCAGGGATCGGCGAAGATTGGTGTCTTACATGGCCTAATCAGCTAAGCTCCAGGCCCTACAAAGACACGAGGAGGGTAGATAGCAGAATAATGGTCCCAGAAATTCAACAAACCAAGGTGAGATAAGCTCGCACGTCCTGCAAAGGTCATCAATCCGACTTAATACCCTCTTCAGGTTTGTTGTCTGGTCTTTCTTGGGAGGGGACTTTTGAAAGGGTCGGAATATTCGATCAGCGATTTGGATGGATGTAGGTGGAGCGGTCGGCCATCGCCAATCCCAAGCCCCTTTTTCTTAGCCTGCCGGGTACCGATATACATACTGAGGGATGATCTATAGAACATTGCTTGTATACGCTATGAAGAATGTCTGCTTCTGCTATTAGCTAAGGCCACATACCCATGACGTGGAATAATGGAATTTATTCAACCACGAAGTTCAGTCTGTGGGCTATGTCTGATATGTGATTTGGCCGTGGCTTTGTTAGCAGTCGGGTTTCTGCACGTTCATGGCACTATGCATGTGCGTGCATGAATACGTACTGTATTACCCATGTAGTGGTTTATTAGCTAACTATCCAGACAATTTCTCCTCTTTCTTCAATTCAATACTTCTCCAGCTGTAGGAATCCACAGGTAGGGGTGGGTTCAGCTCAGGGTCCCGGACGCCACAGCAAATTCTCTGGGCGTGGCCCTGTAGGTGTTCAAACCATCCGTAGCCTTGTTAGTGTCTGCCCAAGGCGACGGGTCAAGGCACAGATTTTCCTGAGGATCATCGTTCATTAATCAAGTTTGCAGATATGATTGGTTGCCGATGGGGCAGAGCTGAATACAGCTGAAGGTGGGGGCTACTGACGTGTCTAATTCTATACACAAATATGGAGCTCGTCCCGTTCGCCGATCGTATGGTCCCCGATCAAATCACCATCCAGCACTTCGTCCGTAGATGAGTAGGACTATTACTGCATTCTGAAAACCCCACCCGTGAAGATCATTTCTAAACCCAGGTTTAATTCAATGTCAGCGACGCACGCTCCTGACGAGATGGTTTTATACCCTACAAATCTACCCCAGGGCCCGCGTCGATTGTTTTGGATTCCATGGCCACGGTGAACGACTATTACATCCGTGTCACCACACATCACATTCAGAATGCTGCCCAGGGTTGTTGGTCTCATTCTCCTGCTTCTTCTGGCATCCAATGTTCAAGCCTTCAGTACATTCCACACAAATTGCACGCTTCCGCCCCAACAGACCAGTTTCGTGTCAGCCCCAAATACCCGTGGCACCTTGCAAATCCTTTGGTCGTCCCTATTCACCATTCTCGCCTGCACTTGGACTGTGCTTCATCTCAACGTCCCTGAATATGTACCGAAACCGGACATAAAGGACTTTAAAAAATGGCTTAAATGGATGGTGGACAAATATCAACATCCAACAAAGTGGTTCCTCCTTACTGTATTTGCACCAGAAATTCCTTTCGCCAAATACTGGGATGATCAGGTCCGGGGGCATTCTTTGTTTTACCACTACGAAACAGTTTTCAGGAAGAAGAACTGGACGAGGACTCATGTTCTCTTCGCTAATATGGGAGGGTTTGCGCTGCGGTGCACTCCCGATCCCGAGGAGGGTGAACCCAGTTCGAAGAACGAGAAAGCGACTACGAAAGATCAAGACGACGACCAGTCCAGTACGAGCCCCCCTTTAGAAGATGAGACCGCTCTGATGGGGGGCCCTAGCATGTTGAAACCAATGACTTCGGCGTCCTGCTGCGGGAAGCCAGAAAAGCAAATACAATCTACCCTCACCGGGAATCCCGCGAAAAAGTTTGAAGAAGTCTTCTATCTGTCAGCCATCGAGGCCTTAAAACTTCTTTGCAGTACAGAAGCATCTATACCAGGGCTAGAAAACGTATCGGAGGAGGAAATCAATGCTCGTTCGAAATCGGATATGTTCATGCGACTCCTTGCCGTGGGTCAAATTGTCTGGGTAGTTATTCAGATCATATCGCGGTGGGCCTATGGCCTGGCCGTGACCCAGCTGGAGGTTACCGTTGTTGCTTTTGCGTTCTGTGCGGTGGGAATGTACTTCGTGAACCATGGGAAGCCTAAAGGAGTTGAGCTGCCGATTCTCTTCGAATATCCCGGGTCGAAGGAAGCGCTTGTGAAGATACTTGGAGAGTCCGCTTTTCCTGACCCTCAAGAAAAACACAATAAGTGGAAGTTTTACAGATGCAAGTATTGCAATAAAGAGAAGACCCAAAGCCACGGCGGTACCCGAAATGCCAACAAAAAAAGCAGTGACGGAAATGACAAGAACCATGAACCCGCAAATAATAACGATTCAACCGATGCTAAATCAGAGGCCATGCCCAGAAGGGACCCAGAGGCGAATGCAGACGTCGAAGAAAGTGAGGTAGTGCCCAAAGGGGCTACAATGACGATGATATGGACAAGTTCTTTGGATACATTCACAGCAATTGTACAAGGGGTACGAGAAACGCTCAAATCCAGCCGGGGCCCGGGTGATCCAATTGGCAATGGATTCATAGACGAAGCAGAAGACCCGAGCAAGTTAAGCAATGTTCTCACTGACTTGTGGATGTTCATCGGCAGTATGATCTTTGGGGGCATTCATCTCATAGCCTGGGATTTTCAATTCCCCACCTCAGTGGAGAAATATCTCTGGTGGGCGGCGTCATTGTGGTGTACTGCTTGTGTACTGACCGGCACATTGATTTACTTGTTACTCATCATACTATTTAAATCTATGGACTTCGCAAATAAAGCGATGAAATCTGACAACTCATCGACCCCCGAGGATACCAAACCCGATGACCCAGCCGGACTGGGCGAATCAGTCTCGAGCACCGGCCCCGACCAAGTCCAAGCAAACCCTAACACAGAGCTTGATACCAGATCCAGTCCAGGTCCAGAGAAAAACCCAAGTTGGGAGGCTGAAAATGCAGCGCCCCCACCCGAGGATTCAAAGAGAGATATAGAATCGCAGAAATCACCGCCACAGCGCTGGGAGACGCTCGAGATCCTTAGGGATCTAGTAATATTTGTTCTTGGTTCATTCTATATTCTTCTATGGTTTATTCTTCTCATATTGCTTGGTGCCCTGGCGGTAGTTGGTGCGCTTGCCTACGTTGTGGCAAGATTGTTCATTGTTGTTGAGATGTTCAGGACATTGGCCTTTCTTCCGCCGGACGCTTATATTGCTACTTGGTCATCGGAACTTCCTAATATCGGTTGATGAATATAATTACATGTTTCTTTAGACTTAATTGATTGGTCAGTCATTCTATTCCTTACCAATAGTAAGAAAATGAAGATTAAGACCGTGCAAGCGTATGCCTCTACACTTCCTACAGGATTATTCTTACATCAACCTTCTAGTTTGTGGCTCAGATACGGCTGGTCAGACCAACAGTTCATGCCTCACAGCCTGTAAATGTAAATGCCCGAACCCTTTATGCAGGAGCCCATATAGATCTTCAGTGGCTAACCTTACTGATTCTACATCCCTCTATTCCAACGAAAACAAGCCCGTGAGGCAGACTGGACATAAGGGTCAATCACAGCTAGGCTAGAAGTATCATTCGACACCAAAGAGTGCCAGCTTGTCTAGCGACACAGATTCACGACTAGTTTCAGTAAACATACCTAAACTGGGGGATCTCTTTATCTGTCTTATCCAGCATACCTGCAATATCTCCAACAACTTCCTCGTTGCCGTGGAATGGTGGGTATACTCCATCGCGACGTCGGTTCTCCCACACCAGGTAAAAGCGAGCTACCCCACATAAAATGACCCCCACGGCATAGCATATCATAATAGCGAGGAATCCAGTGGTGTAGGTAGGCGCCTGATCTTCAAAGAATAGCTGCGGTCCGACGATATTTCCAACACAAAAACTGATCAAAATCTAAAGTTTGGAGTCAGCGTTTAGTGGCTCCGAGGATGCTAAGTAATGGTCACAAGGTGGATTTGACGTACAGCTGTGTTCACCGTCATCTCCTTAGTAAAACCGGCAACATTACCCGATGACAAGCACATCGTTAGAGGGAAGTTGGCAGCAGCGGCCGTCATGAGTAATTTGCCAGCGAATCGACCCCACATGAGATGAGCTGGAAGCTCACGTATCAGAGCCGTGCCGGTAGTGGCGAGACACAGGTTCCACACCATCCAGTACGTTCTAGTATTGTTGAAATATGAGCTGCCAGCGGTGGAGATAAGAACAGCGATAAGCATAGCCAAGTAGCAGGATGCTTGAATAAGAAGAGAGTTGAAGGTGCTAAATCCTAGGCCATTGACTACTATTGTGCCGAACTTAGGATTGGTCAATTTCGGGTACCTTGAACACCTAACATGGGGCGAGGACAGCTGGCAACTCACAGTGGTTAGGGCACCATTAGGCACCTGGCCAAAAAAGGTTATGGCGCATAATAACCAGGTTTTAGCATCTAGGAAGGCTTCGATGCACTGCGTCCACTTGAACTCGCTGCTCTTTATTCCAGTCATGTTCATCCTCACGCGAGCCACAGCTTTCAGACGATCCTCGTCGTTTATGAACCAAGCCTGCATAGGAGTATCGGGCATAAGGAAGATGAAAATAAGAGACCGAGCTACCGTTAGACTACCGAATAGTAAAAATACGACCTGCGAAGATTAGCTATTGTTTCTATAATAACGAGAAATACCATCAAAAGCTTCTTCTTACTTTCCAAGGTGCCATGCTCTCAATGTGTCCAAGCCCATACGCAATCAGACCCCCGGTTATACCAGCGAAACTATTCCCAATAAACCATGCGGCTTGTCTCAACGGCTGCTCAGATCGCTTGTACCACATGGCAACAATGACGCTTAGGCCTGGGGCAATGGCCGATTCAGCTGCGCCGAGAAAGAATCGCTCAACCAGGAGTCCCGCAGCATTGTCACAAGCGGCCGTTACAGTCAAGATCACCCCCCATGTACATCTGTAGTCTTCCAGTCAGAATTATGATTTCTGTTAAAGGCGGTTCTTTGTAACTTTCTCACATTGAAATGGCAATTGTCTTTCCCACATGCCAGCGGACCATCAACATAGCGGCCGGGCATGCAGCAATCATGTAACCGAAGTAGTAGATGCCGCTCGCCCAAGCAAACTCATCACCGCTAAGATGAAGGTCGCCTGGAAGCTCTAGAATAGATGTAAATGAGAGATCCTGTTTATCTAGAAACTGTAACATGTATGAGATGGACATGAGAGGTAGCAGGCTGTGAGGACACTGATAGTTAGACAATTTGCTTCTTCTCGGGTTCTGGGCTGGATTCGCACCAAATGTCAATTTTTCGAAGAATCCTTCTGTCTTCCTCCGGGCTGAGTGGCTCGGTTGCTGAGCCAGACTTGACGAGCCCTTTCTCGGTTTGAACATTACCAGAGGCTCCTCTCGGGGGTCCGGGCTCTCTATCTCGCTCCGAGGCCATGGTATCATAGCAATCAGTCGAGAGAATAAGATGTAATGAGGGGAACGACTGCTGCCATCCGGATTGACAAATATATATAGCAGTATGGTCACTAAACACAGCCATAAATGTAACCGTTCACCTACGAAACTTTTCTCCTTTCCATTGCGCCACCGAACGTGTTCACGGCTGTGTTCGGCCAGCGAGCCTGTGCACAGGTTACACAATTTATCGGAAGAAGACATACGAGCCGGGATATATCCTGGATACTCCGTGTTTCACAAGATCGGTGCGACCTCTCATGGTATAGCAGAAGATTCTGTTCTTTGTTCAACTTCCCCACATACACGCGCCTCCACCCGCGGCCTGAGCTTTTTTCAACTCGTCATTCATATGCGCGATATACTATCTATGTTCTGCACATGTGGCTCAATGAGCCATGAAAGACTCGTGCATTGATGGTGTGTATTGTAGTATTGACTACTTTCCGACGCGGTCTGTGCCGTAACGAGTGCTACGTTACATCTCATCCCGACTGTCGTTGCATCTCAGTCAAGCCTTCTCTCCGACGGTTCAACGATCAGTAAGTCTCCTTTCTCTAGGAGCATCATGGCCATATCCTGGCTATATCCAGACGCAGGAGCCCATAATCTTGGGAATAGTATTTAAATTTCATTGACAATGTCGACGAATGTGTGGGTTCCCATTACAATGTTTCTCATCAGGAAAGGTGACTCCTTGTCAACATCTTCAATAGCGGTTACTCAGAAAAACCGAAAAAATACGGATATGACAGCAGAACTACAGAATCTGGACCAACTATGGAGCATGTATGGCTTACTGGTCAAAAGTCAATTTGCTTAGAGAGTTTTCCCCGTAACCAGTTCAGGTTGGAGGCCCGAGACCCTGTCCAGCTCGGTCTCTCCTTTCCCATTTCGTGAATCCTCGCTTACGATAATGTAGTGAACCTCTAAGTATCGAGTTCAAAAGTCCATTGGGCGCTATCATAGCAGCCCTCTATATGTGCATCTAGTCATAATCCATATATACAAAGTCATCAATCCAAAGCTATATCACATCACGCCAGCATAATGTACAGTCCAGGGCATCCAGTCCCAGTCTTCCAATTCTAACTGCAAACCTTATCATCTTCTCATGGTGCAGCATCCTCCTTACTAACCCGATGGCCCTGGTTAGCCTTCCGATCCGACGCCAGCGTCTGGGCAAACTTGCTCCTCTCGCGAATCTGCGGCCCCTTCCAGTAGAAGATGTAAATTGGAAGCACCACCAAGCAAGAAAGACAAGCCAGGATAGTAGTAGCATACTCCACATGCCACTTATCACCGATATTTTCATACATCGGGGTGGTATACATAGCCGCAATACCTGCCAGCAGATCACGACAGAAGGCATTTCCGCCCGTTGCAGAAGCAGAGTACACACCGTAGGCGGCGACCATGTAATCAACCGAGGAAAGGTAGATAGCGTAGTTGGCTATGCCGACAAGGGTGGAGAAGATCATGGATGCGATCCACGGCACACCGTACTCTTGACCCAGAGACGTCCACGCGAAACCGAAGAGCCCTATCGGTTCAAGCAAGGCTAGATAAAGAAGCCACTTGAGTCTCCGCTCAGCAGGCAGTGCATCGTCTCCCTTCGCGTCGCGAATTTTCTGGTCCCGCCAGAACCAAGGGAAGTATGAGAAGTACGCAATAACGTAGCCGATGTTGATCGGGATGACAGCCCAGGCTTGGCCGAGGATACCGAAGCCCCAGCCCTTTTCGTACACAATAGAGAAACTCTCCAGGAATGTGAAAATGAGGGAGTCGGAGAAGCCGGATAGGAGGGAGAGACATAGGACGATGGGTTCGCGGAGGAACATGTAGAAAGGACGGATCCAGATCTTGCCGGCTTCTTTGAGGGAGATGCGGGGACTTTTGAGCTCGTTGGGTCCGTAGATGTTCGGGTCTTCGCCGGATTCACGGCGGCGCTTGGCTTCGCGGTCCATGATGATAGTCGAGCGGCTTTCGGGGACGAAGAGGAGGATTACTTCGACAACGAAGCCGAAGATTAGCATGATCCAGAAGAACCATTGCCAGTCGAGGTCTGTCAGATGTAGAGTTAGCGGTTTGTGGATAATTTACGGTCGGCTTTTTGAGAATGGGACTTCGGAGGATACGTACAGCGCTCAATCGGTCCACCTATGACACCTCCAATACTTGTTCCGATGCAAGACGATAAGACAATAAATGCCAGAGGGAACTGCTGGTCTTCGGCTTCGTAGAGATCAGCAATAAGACCTAGGGTGACACTACCGCCAGCGGTCGAGATTCCACCCTACATACATGTTAGCATGACATAGTGCACATTCCAGACGCAGGAACTGACCAATCCACGAGCAACAACAATAGTGCCCCAATTCGGCGCCAAGGCAGCTGGAATTTGCCAGATATTGATAAGAAACATGGAAAGCTGAAGAATAGGCCAGCGGCCAAATTCTTCACTCCAGGGCGCCCATAGTTCACATCCAATGGAATAGGTGATCAGGTAAATCATCTGCCCCGTCCGGGCTTCCTGCTCCCCAATATTGAATGCCTCTGACAACGGCTTGACAGCATTTGGAAAGACAGAGGTGTTAAAGTTCATAGATATTTGGACACATGCTATGGCCGCAAGATACGACCATTTCTTCCATCTCGGCCAGCAGTAGGCCAGCTTATCGTAGCAGTCGTTCTCCTTCAACTCGCGTCTTCCGTCTGAGCGTATGGACCCCGTTTCTTTCTCGGCTCCAGTGAGCCCAAATGCGGGGACAATATCATCCCCGCTATCCTGGCTGTCTTTCCCCTTATCGGAAAAGGAACTGCGAGATGACTGGGTCTGGGGTTGCTGTTCGTGGGGATACATAGTGTGATGTCATTAATTGGTACTATCACACAGGAACAGGCAAAGATAAGAAACTATTCCTCTCTTAGAGTGGTCTGACACGACTGGATACCCTGCCGGTCGTCTGATAGATATACCATCGTGCTTCCATCATCCATTCTAGATGTTGTCATACTGGAGCAGTTCGTTTCCAAACCGGATTTGTGATTTTGGGGTTACAGTGGGGCGGGCCGGGCAGATCCACCTGTGGATCACCGCCGGGGAGAAGTTCATATGCGCCCAATCAAAACATCGGCACTCGACTCACGATGCACCCTCGGGCTCACTTTTGATTTGTCTTGATGGCTTCCGGAGGTCCGGCTGCTCCATACCGATGCACCTAACTCGGAGTAACACACTGCCCGATATCCACCGTAAGCACAGAGCACCCGGTATGATATCATCGTTGTGGTGCTGCATTGCAAAGAAACGAACCTTCGCCACACTTCCATTCTTTCGTCCTCGTGCATTCACCACTCATATTTGACCTGTTGCCTAGCAGAATATCCTCGAACCTCGGTCTCTTGGGATGCATAAAGAAATAGCAGCACCGAAATGACGTGTCTAAGTAATGTGGCTGATATTTCTCCAGGTACCATGCATAATGACGCTCCCTGCATCCCCTTCGGTCTGCTAATGTTCATTCGGATAAATTCTCCTTAATGTGCTGTTGTCGGTTATGCTCGTTTGACCAGTGCATGTTTATTCAAGTGCACCTCAACCTGGAATGATGTCATAGTACCTGTGTCTTCGATGAGTGACAGACACTACAACACTCAAGTCTTCTTGAACCTTACTAACAAAATTGACACATCTCGTTCATTACTTGGACTGCTGTTCTCCTGTTTAGGCGATATCATGCTGACCGACAAGTCATCTATAAATCCATGGCAACGAGCTTTACTCTCGATGAGATCTCATACTGTATCTCTGGAACATGTTTATTTGTTGTAGGGGAGCGATAATCTTGGAAGAGTGAACCCACATTCCTGCATAGAGAACACTGCTTGTCGTGAAGAGATACATTCAGCACAACTATGAAGAAATGCCAATGATTATTCAAATTTTTATTAAGAATTTAAGAAGTTATCTATAGAAAAACAAAACAAAATGAAAATTGAATACTGAGTGCCATCAGTTACTTCTGCTACCTTCATCATCAAACAAGTTGTCACACCGGCTAGACTTTTTCCGCAACATCTGCCTCACAACAAGGTCTCTTCTTAGAGGCTTTGTCGGTAGTCTTCGGGCCACTCCCGCTACGTTAAGTGTTTTTTCATTACCCTTAGTCATGAACTTCAGGCCACAAACACGAGGGTTCATTAATAACATCATCAAACAACACCACGCTACAGTTGACAGACGTAGCAGAGGAAATCATAAGGAAGGAGTTTAAAAGATACTAGAAGTATAAATCTTATGACAGAATAATACAATTATGGTCAAAGTTCGACACACAAGCAATATACTAGGGGTTGTGTATCTTAATAGTTGTGTTCAGACCTGCCAGACAACTTGAATATCCTTACTAAGCAATTATTACTAAGCATAGGGCCAGGGAACATCTTCAATGAGAATTACTCACTGAAAAACTTTCTATGTAGGGTCTACAAGAAGTTTTGCATTCTTTTTAAGTGCAGTCATAATGTTTACAGGGGATGCAAGCAGTCGTCGCATTCATTATGGGCACCAGTGCAGGGCGTTGTAATATCAAAGCTCCCTCAATTCCGTCTAAGTATTCGCCGATTTCCTCTCTCCAAGATAGATAAAGTCACATTAAACTCATCGAACAAAGTTAAACACTGTGAAGTCAGGTCCCCTCGGGATTCGATTATAACCCCAATCAACGTCTCATTTCACTTTTGAAGATACTTCCACTGGGTCTGAAATAGGAAATGATTCGATAGCTCTCGTATATACGGTGAGTCACCGGCTTTAAGCGGCCTTTAGCGGGTTTTACGAAGCGTCAACCCCACTGACCAGCTATATATGAGCCTGTTAAACCCCGCATCAACTAGTTCCGATATGGGATATTTTCCCGAGCATAAGCACATATATAAGTGCTTATCCCTTTCAGTAAGCCAGATCCATGTGCCACGTCTGAAGCTCTGAGATAAAGCCATCCTTGAAAAAAACATCTCAACATCATTATGAAACTCTACGACTCTCCTGCCCCAAACCCCATGGCCGTCCGGCTGTTCATCCTCGAACGTGGCGGTCTCAACCTCGACGTGGAAGTCGTTGACACAAAGACTCTTCAGAACCGACGCCTTCCATATCGCGCGATTAACCCTCGCGGGGAAGTCCCCGCCCTTCAACTTGATGACGGCACGATCCTGACTGAAGTCACGGCCATTTACGAGTACCTGGACGAGATCGCCGCTGGAGGTACATCGCTCTTTGGAAATACGCCGGAACAGCGTGCCGAGACCCGCATGTGGCTGAGAAGAATGGATCTGGAGATTTGTCAACTGGTTATTGCTTGGATCAGGAATGATCCTGCTACTATCGATCTCTATAAAGGCCATCGAATTCCGACGCCTGAGGCGAGAGTGAATCAAAAAGTGATGATTAATCAAGCGTTGAATATGCTGGATGATCAGTTGGAGGGGAAGACTTGGCTATGTGGGGATAGGTTCTCTGCTGCTGATGTTCACTTTTATGGGTTGATGAAGTTGATGACTATGAGGTTCTGTGATTGGGTGCTGTTGCCGGGACGAGAGAACTTTCTGGCATATTGGAAGAGATTGGATGAGCGTGAGGCTTCGGGAAAGGCTTTGCAGACTTTCGCGGCTAGGGTTGAGGTGTGATGCACATACTGGGTCTCTGAGGGATAGTTCCCATAGGATCATATCATTGACCCTTCCCGACTAGCTACCGATACAATGATGTCAGGCAGTTTTGTGTTACTAATTCCCGAACATATACAGACCACCAATCCAGACGTTTTACGGTTCTTCTCAGTTGCAACAAGCTGCTACTTTCTTCTTGTCATTGTTAGTTGGTTTTATTCATGCCGAGGCACTAGAGAAAGTCCTTGTGTCTTGGGAAAGATTCCCATAGAATCTTCCACTTTCAACGTTCATTAAAGAGCATGGTTGCTTCTGGTTTATTCATTGCACTTGCTCAGGTCATGTCGAAGCGGACACTTCCAAGCCTCAGGATCGTTGGAAGAATACGAAAAGTAGCCACTGCGTAATGAAAAGCAACTAGAGGTCGTTGGACGCCAGAATGAAAAATTCATTTTTGGATGATTCAACCTCTTGTCTGCATGGTAGCGTGGTTGATCTCAAGTGCCAGTTTCTCCCGCGTGTTTGACCCTCCACCATGCGGAAATAGTATCCGTACCTTAGCCCGACCCCAAATCTCACGTCTCACCAAATCCCTGGAAGTCACCCATCTACCGGAAACACTATCTCATAACAAGGTATAGTAAGAGACAGCTAGTCCAACTGTCAACTAGGCATGTGCATGTTTACAGGTGTCTATGTATTATTAAATCCCTTTTACTCCTCGCTATCAGCCTCCATATTCTTGTTTCTGATTAGCAACAAGGCTTGGACGACGCTCAAAGCAATTTTCATCAGCAGGCACAGCCATGAGAGGCTGAGCTCACTACCGTTCAAGTGCCTGTCCGGTGCCCCAATACAATACCACTTAGTACCAGCATATTCTTAGTCTAACCAACAATAAACAGTTGCAAAAATTGGGAAATGAAACACTATTACGTTCACTGTGTATCAAGGGCAAAAGCATTCTTTTTGACTAATTTCTGTAATGGTTGTTAACTGGTAACAACGAAGTCTCTCTTCCTGGCCTAAATTCGAAGGGACCCTAGCGGCCTTGGCGGCCCATCCCCCCGCTCAATTACCAGCAGCGCCAACAATTGGCATTTGAGCTTGATTGGTCTTATGGCATATCATTCTCTTCTCACAAGGAATCCGTTTCCTCCTTCGGATTTTTTTTTTAAAAAAATCTTACACATATATTTTCGGATAGTGACAATATCTGTTCGAAGAGTGCTCATTAGACTGTTGTCAGAGTTTATTTAGCATTCGAGCATAGACACAAACTTATGTAGGCATTTTCTAAGACAATAATTCGTACAAGCGGTGCCATTGACAATCTCACAATACAGTCATTGCAGCCTGTTTGAAAGGGCTCAAGTCCGAGTCGAAGCGAGAGTTTGAATTTGAGACAGCAATCTCGATAGGCCCTAATGTCCCACATCTCCCTCTTCTCACCGTCGGCTGTAGCCGACAGCATTCCTCATTGAACGGACCCAAAATACTACGAGATCTAAGTGTTGAGTTGCCAGATGAGTGACCGTTACCATGATGACAATTATTCTCAGCGGGTGCTTCGGCTTTGAGATTATAGAATCCATGGCTTTGTCTCAGTATTCTCTTGTGAATGGGCCTTTTAGGTAATTCTGGCCCCCATACCATCACATTGAAGGGTCACAGCCTCGATCCCATCTATGGTGGTCCTGTGTTGTGGAATGACCCGTGTGATCCTTCTCTGCACACCCTCCACTACGCTGGATCAAGCTTCAGCCACTAAAGCGCTGAAGACATGTATGTCTCTCCTAAGTGGCCCGCAGGGCGTCAGATCAACCCACTGTACCCGCTTCCTCTAGATTTTTGGCCCCTTTTGGCCCCTTTGGCCCCCAACATCCTCGCTAAGCATTGCCGATACCCCAAACAACCCGGGGCAATAAGCCATCCTCCAGCAGCACTCTAGATCGGTGAACCATCAAACTCATGTAGTATGACGCTCGGTTTGAAAGAGGGAGAATGAAGAGGCGTCTATAAAACGCGACACAGCCTCTCTGTGTTGCCCTCAAGATCCGTTGTCCCCAGTCATCCAAGAAACTGTTTCATTCTAAGCCAATCTACTACGACTTCCCTTACTTGTCCAAACCTACAAGAAATACAACCGCAACAATGAAGACAACCCAGCTCATTTCATCCCTCCTCCTCTCCCTCGTCCCCACCCTCACCCTCGCCGATGGTGTTCCCTCGGGCGCTGAGCTCTGCGTAGGCCAAGGTGCCGGCAGCTGCCAATTCGCTGCATACCAGCTCCAACCTACCGACACGTGCGAAGACCTTCAGAAGAACGCCGCCTATATCTACGACCACGAATGCAACCTCATCGGCCACACGGAGAACTTCGCGGAAGGAGACGCCATTGACTCGCAGCTGCCGTATACTGTCGATGTCAAGAACATTGTTGGCGGTCCATCATGTGCGATCAAGTACGAGATTGCCTACAGTGATGGGTTGTACGGATATGGAATGCCCTCTGGTGGTGTTTGGGGCAGCTGTTCTGAGAGTGGCCACCAGTGCAACTGGTACCGGGTGGCTTTTGATTGCCCTGGATTCTAGAGGAATTTGGGTTTGATCTCGTGGGGTGGGATAACATCAGCCTGCCTAGTCTGGACTGTTCAATTTTCTTGTTTAATTTGTATATATTGTCGAGGAAATACCAGTAGTTGTGGGAGCCACTGCTGATACCAGCGTCGGTTAGAGTAATCATCCGTCAATAACCAACGGAAGATGCTACAATGGACCGTTTTCAGAGCTAGTCAATTCATGTTCCTAGTGACCTCGAAGTATCTTTCCGGAATACTACTTCCCAACCAGAGACTTTATTATGTCTCGTTTCTTTCTATATGACTGATACTCTTCCATAATGCCAGGAAAAGCATCACATTGATGTCGCCGGTGACATAAATTAAGGCCCCCTTGACAGCCCTCGGGCTTCCCCGAACGAAGGTATCTGTGTGGTATCACTTGAGAGGTTCAAGTGGGTCTTCGGCGATTGGGTTGAACTTTGGCGTATAGATTTTGTAACAACTTTTCCCCTCCGTGGGCGTGGGAGGTGTTGTTCTGAGTGCCACTCTAGTGAAAGAGAGAATCTCAACACCTATAGGGGCTAGCCCTCCCTCAGTCACTCGCATTACCTCTGCTGCAGAAAGGAATGCCTTTTCCCAGTTGCCAGTCATACTATGTCTGTGTCGTCGCCTAATTGGGTGTCTTCATTGCCTTCGGCGGCATCAGTGCCGGCTGCGTTGTTGTCAGACCAGGATTTGCATGATTGACAGTTCAGTGGACGCATAATTAACATACAAGATACAGATCAAGATAATCAGTCTGCTCTGGTCGAAATCGAACAGCTCGGTGGCATCTTTGATCACGCCGTCCTCGGGACCGGTCGTCGCCGTTGGGTCGGCTGATGTTGTGACCGGTACCGAGTGCGACGAGTCGCCGAAATCTAAGCTATTTTTATTATGTTCGAGGTCTCCAATGTCCGTGAAGTAGTCGTTGGTGAAGATCTCATCAAGGTTTAGTGGGGGAGGGGGGACGCTGCCGTCAGTGCCAATGCCAGGGAACAAACTATGCTCGGAGATAGCCCGATGATTTTAAGTCATGTTCCATCCAGTATGGTAGTCCTAGACCATGCCACTATTACGCAGTACCGCTCTTAATAGATTCCAGTGACGTGCGCTTAACACACTTACCTAATTCCAATTCCTCACCTAGATGCAATGTCAAGTCTTCTTTAAATGATTTGTCTTTCCGGCGGAAGAGCTCCAACGCCCGGGCCTTGAATTGAGCCCTTCTTTCTTGCCGAGAACAAGTTTGGGATTGCGATGTAAGATAGCAGTAGTAGGTTTACATTACCAAAGTTGCTGTGGTTCAGCCAATGCCTTGCTTGCTTACCTCCTATATTGCAATTGGCGTCTCCTTGCCATTCCCAAATTCAACAAAGCGTGCGAATGCTACGTCTTCCAGAAATGGCCCCACTGCCAAACCTACTGCTCCGGTCGGCCAGTATATCAGTTCTCCGGATTAGCTACGTCAACTTTCGGCAAGGTACGAACCTCAGGACGTGCGTTCGAGCGATCCCAGTCTCGCACTTCAACCCACGTTGACTCGATATTGCTCTATAACTTCATAAAATCATACGAGAACAAAAGAAGAAGAAAAAGGGCAAGCAAACAGGATAGCCTTAAAAAGGCAAAAACATACAACAGAAGGGATTCGCTGGTGGTCACCCACCCAACTACTAACCTCCCGGCGTGTGGCTTAAGTACGGCTGAGCGGACGGGAAGCCCTGTTTTCCACACCCTGTGGTCGTATGTACTAGATCTGTCTTTGACTAGGATAATATAGTGCACATTCATTCGCTTAATCGCGAAAAGGGAATGGTGCGTTCCAACCCTCTCCGTACTCAAATGCCAGAACCTTTAAGATGTTGTGGCACGTGATCATTCATATTTACGGAGACAACGACATTACGTCAGCCACGATAGGGTTCTGGTTCATCAATGACTGTTAGATCAATAATTCTATGTTGTGTTTGTATAGTATTTGTCTTCATAGTGGACTCGGTTTGAGGGTTACCAAAGCGTATGCTTTGCTATAGCAGTACGTGAAAGAGTATTCGATTTCGCACTATTCATTAGCAGTTGGTCCGAGAGACTCGGCTTCAATCACTGGTGTATAGTATTGAGATACGGTGAATATATATAGCGGGTGCAGCAGGATGAACATGACACTGCTGATGAATTGGTAGCACGATAAAGTTCGGAGCGAGGTAGTACTTATAGAGTACAAGCTCTTTTATTCTAATAACCAGTGTAGCATTACAAAGAGGATTTGTTGTGTCAATGTCTTCAGTATAGTAAATATACAGTACGAACACCCTCCACGTCATATATTGAACACGATATAGCTGGAACATATATGAAAAATCACATTCCAATCTGGTATCTACTAATCTGTCTGTATATACGCATATATACTGGTATCTATTTTTACTCCTCGCTAGGCTTAACGTCATACTCCACATCCGTCCGAATGATATACTTCGCTCCCTTCCGTACCCCTGTCCCCTCATGCAACAACGCCCCGTTCGCCTCTCCGTGTGGGAAAATGGCAACGGCACCCATGACAGGACGCACGGGGTATGCATTTAGTGTCCCTTCCCTAGCGGCCGGCATGAAGAAAGTCGTCTCACCGCCCTCGAACTCATCATTGAGATAGAGGAGGAAGGTATACATGGAGCTTTGCTTTTTATCCTCCGGCGAGGCATCATACACATATGTATCATCGGGAAGGATACCCGACGGCGGCCAAGCGCCGTCAATGTGGCACCGGTACTCGGCACCAGGGACGTATCGGTATACCCGGAAACGACGGTTGATACCTCGCACGAGACGACCGTTGATAGATTGCGGGACGTACTTGGATATACGTGCCCAGAGCATGTCGTGGAATGTGGTGTCAATCACCCAGTAGAAGTTGTGGGCGAGAATACTCATGTCGCCGTCTTCGCGCATGGGGACGTCGGGTAAGAAGTTGACGGATTCGCCGGCGGCGATAATAGCCCTGCATTCGGATGGCGTAAGGACGTTCAAGGCCAGTCCGAGGCCTGGGACCGCAGGGTGGGGGTGATATGTGATCGATGGGCTAACGGGGTCCAGCGGGACGGCATTCGGACGTGTAGTATAGAGAATAGCGGGGTGATGGTTCGGAGGTTTGCGGAGGGGGCCAGGCGTCGTTTCGATGACACGAAGGGCAGCGGGGTCTTTCGGAGCTTCGTTCAGGATCGATTTATCGAGGACGGAGGCATATACTTGGAGGGGTGTGGTGTTGGGACGGAGGTCCCAGATGGACTGGAAGGCGATGGGATCCGTAGAGTCGACTGCATTCGATCTGAGGTCGATGGGAGTGCTGACGCGTAGGATGGCATCCAGAACGCCGAGTAGTTCCAGGTCCTGAGGCGTGCGCTCGAGGGTAGCCTTCTCGCGGGCTTCGGGTTGGGTGGAGAGGCCGCTGACGACGTCGAGATCTCGTACCCAGCGACACAAGGCTCCGATTTTGGGTTGTTCACCCCGGATTCTCATCTCGGCAAGCAGGATCTTTGCTTCCAGGTATCGTTTGTCGGCCAGGGCGCCGGTAATTCGTGCCGTCAGGTTCGCGCCCTCTACCGAACGATTAATTGCCACCATTGATTAGAGACAGTGTAACAGCAGCATACCGGCATTGTTAACGCCCGTAGTACAGGCCTGGCGGAACTCGTAGACCGCCACCCGGAGATCCTTGCATGCTTTCGACTTGGTCAGACTGGGGTACTGAGTCAAGGTCGTGAGCGTCTCAACGGTAATTTCGAGGTCCTCGTCGGGGACGACGGTGCTGAGGTTTTTCGGCTCTCGACTGGCGCCATCGGGAGGGGGAGTGAGGACCGTGGATGCAGCCTTGGGGACCTTTTGCGGGAGATCGGCTTGGGCGTTGCGCTTGCGCTTGGCAGCTTTTGACTTGGCCATCGTTATCGGTGATGCTGATGGCCAGCTGGGGGGACAATGGCTGCTGATAACTGACGGATACCCGGTGGGGATGCGGATTTCCCACAACTATTTTTGCGGCAGTCGAGAACCCGATTATTAAGCCTGGCCGACCCGCCGTGGATTCTGGCAGTGGCACTGACACTACTGAGGAATGACATGCAGGAAGTGGACAATCCAGCAAGAATTACAGTTATACCCAAGGGTTTTGAGGATGACCAGAAGGTATGGGCTACTGTGAATGGACAAGGGGGAGCACCGCTCTACAGTCACAAGTGCAATGACTTCAAAACTGGGGTTGATTCACAATGCCGGGAAGTGCTGACTGGCGAAAAGGTCCGGACGACACCTTCTATCCCAATATCTATTCCTGAGATAGAGAAAGCACCGTGCTCTGCTGCTCCGTCCGGAGATATAAGGTAGTCCCCGGAAACGGTCGCAGCAGCCAGTCCACCGGATAGAACACGCAAAGTCTCTGGGGGTGCCAATTTGAAGTAGGTAGAGGAAATTGAATTTTTCGTTTTTCATTCATCAGAATACATCATGTTTTATAGATATATCCCGACTGTAGGCAAGATCCCATATTGTTCGCGTCTTCCGGAACTCCCGCGTTATCACTGCCATTTGCCAGATATGAACTAAACCTCACAAAAATCCCCCATTTAAGCGGACTTGGCCTTGGCGGCCTCACGACCCTTGCCAACACGCTCAAGGATGGCCTCACGGTCCTTGTCGAGGTGGAGCTTCTTGATGACGACCTTGGAGGGGTGGAGGGGGATGGGGACGCTCTGGCCGTTGCTCTTGTCGCGGCTGATGCGCTCGACGTGGATGGCCCACTTCAGGCGGTAGACGCTGGTGACCTTGCCCTCACGGCCCTTGTTGCTGCCACGGACGACCATGACCTTATTCTCAGTTTAGCGAGTGGATTAGATGTCGGGTTAGAATCAGCCTTGGCTCACCTCGTCGTCCTTGCGGATGGGCATGGAGCGGACCTATCAAACGACTTGCGTTAGAACCATATTCTCCCAGCGTTGTTTCGTCATGCCTGATGTCTCGGATTGGATGCTTGTCGATTGGATCTGGTTTTTGTATCTTCCTGCCAAATCCCCAACTCGCTGGCCTGATCCAACCTGTCCCCGACCGGAAAGAAAGAAACCATGCCAAATCCATCTCCGCACACACACAAAATCCCAGGGGCTGCAAAAAAACAGGAATCACATCGGTCTGATCGAACGTACATTGTACTTGGCGCGGAGCTCGCTCGAGAGAGGAGCAGAGAGGATAACGCGGCGCTCGCTGGAGGGGGCGTTGAAGTGGGCGGCGCGCGACTTGCGGCGAGAAGAGGCGAGACCTGAAATCATCACGAAGTTCAAATTAGTATGGATTGGATTGGCGAGATCGAGAAAAATCGACAGAACAGGACGACGCACTGGAGTTCCTGACAGCCATTGTGAATATGCCACCTAAAGGTCGTGGGAGAACTCGGACGGGTGTCGTGAGGGTCGTCGGAAAGGTCGTCAGGAAGAGTCTTACTGCTTTGCTGGATCTGTTTCGTTTGTGGCCGAAAATTCGGGCTGTGCGTCACATGACCCCCCGCTTCGCCTAGCGGCCAGGTCCAGCGTTGTGATTGGCTAGTGTGGGTTTCCGCCCGCAGCCATTCTCGATGCTGACTGGAGCCCGGCTCGATTGCTCCTTAATTCAGAGGGTACAGTAGGAGTAGTAGTATTGAGTATTGTAGATAGTAGTAGGGGATAATTGATGGAACGGCTAAGAATAGTCACTATCTATACCACACTTTACATGGATTAAGGTATCTAGATTTTTGAGTAGTATAGTTATCATTGTAACTAACTGTATGGCCTTCGAAATATTTCTAATAAATTATTATATACTGTTATATCCATTTCTTTGCACTTATGCAGGGGCATTTTAAAGGTGCTCCCCGCGGAAGGAACTGGCTATACTCTCTACCCGATTAGGACAGGTAATAGGGCTGCCCCGGAGTTGATATACCACCCTGGTATGTTCTTCCCCAGAAAACACATGATTTAATGGTGAAGATTATCTAATTTATTTCACTTCGAAACATGTAGTAATATTGCTTATTCTCAAGCTAAAAGCCCAAAACTTCATTCATGGTTGATATCCTACTCCCGAGGCTCCTGTCCGTGGAACTATATATAACGGGTCCTACTATGCAAACTGACTCTAATCACCCACTTCTGATCATCCATCAATCGGTTCATCACCATTGATATTCACGCCCCCGCCTTAGCGACACTAGCACTGCTACTCGTCACTCTCCCAGTAAATATCCTCAATTAATCGTTTTTAATCCTAACGAGAAGCCTCATCGGATCCCTCATGATCACCTCACACGAGGCTACGATAAGATATGACGAGATCGTTGAGCACGTGACACCGCGCTCCATTATTTCGTATTTTAATGCTCACAGTACTTATACTCGAGTGGACTTAGAATATTTTGTCCGATAAGACATCGTCATCAATACTTTCCATATCAACAACTCCACCATGCCAGTCGGCTTTATATGCACATCCGAAAGCGGTTAGTGGAATTCCTTATCGGCCTGCGCCTTATCTACCCCTAGATTACCCGAGTAATGTGAGAGCGGTTTCCGCCATTATGACCATAAAGCAGACATTGTCACGCTGAACTGAAGAGCAAAACAGTATTATTATCATTACTAGTTACTATCATCATATATCATCATAACAAGATAACCACCAACGCAAACCCGAACCCATGATCTAGAGAAGATATCGCTCCAATTCCAACTAACCGCCATTCTACTTCGCCGTGAACCTACTCCTCGCCCTCAGCGTCGCCCCAAAGCGATACAGAGCAAACATCCCCGCAATGCAACCCACTGTCAACCCGGCCAGCAGACTAATCCCTGGACCAACACCAAGATTGACATACAGGGGACGTGCAAACAGCACCGCACCACAAGCCAGCGCACTGCGCATGAGGTCATTCCCTGCAAACAGACTAGCCGCGTACTGCGGATACGTCATGGGGATGTAGATGAAGATGCACTGAATCACCACGTAGATGCCGATTGTGTAGATCAGGATACCGATCACAGAGACAATCCAGTGCACTGAGGTGCGGGAGGTCCATCCGAAGAGGAACAGTCCGATCGGAGGTAGAAAGCAAGCGAAGAGGGCAGGAATGAGGCGTCGTTCGGGGGATTGGAGACCCTGGGTTCGGATCTCGGGCTCGAAGATCTTGTTCAGGTAGATGAAGTAGGCAGGGACGGCGATGGCGAGGGCCACTGCGATGCTAAGGAAGACGAGGCCCATTTGGCCGAGGTTGAAGTGGTACATCTCAATGTAGACGATGGGGAAGACTTCGAAGAACGAGTAGTAGATGCCGTAGATGAGACTGGTATAGATGTTGACGAAGAAGATGGCGGGGTCGAGAACCACGATTTGCAGGGGCCGGTAGAGTGCTTCCATGGCCACTGCGGTGAAGGTGAGCTTCTTCTGGTTGATTTCCGACTGGGAGAGGAGTTTGTCGTTGCCGGTCAGTCGGCGGAGGCGTCGCGCGCGCTGGAGGAGGATGGCGTCGGGGAATGTCTCGGGAAGGAAGAAGAACATCACCACTAGGATTGGTGAAGACATCCAGACTGTCTCCCACAGTGACCAGCGCCAGCCCTCGACGGGGACGCTAAATCCCGAAATGACGGGCCCCAGGGCAGGGCCCAGAGTGGCAAAGGCAGCCCATGCGGAGAGACCGTATGGTAGCTTTAGAAGGCTAAATACATCGCCGATGCTGGCACCGCCGGTCGCAAGGCATGGGCTGCCGAAGAAACCTTGAAGAAAGCGGAGAACGAGGAGACCTCCGAATGTGTTGACCACCGCAGCACCAATGCTGAAAAGGATGAACAGGAGGAAGGTGATGATGTATGGAGGGTTGCGTCCGACACTGGGGATCTCGCTAAGCGGGGAGAAGATCATCGGGCCGATGCCGTATCCGAGGACATATAGAGCCAAACCTAACGATGCAGCTGTCGAAGAGACTCCGAACCGTTCTTGAATCTGAGTCGCGCTGGGGGTGTAAATGGACGAGCCCATGTAGACGACCAAGGTGTAGAGATAGATCTGAGAGACGACGACTAGCTTCTTGGTAGTGGTCCAGTTCTGGGGATTCTCGGGATCGCGCGTGGTATACCAATCAACCAGGATTGTACCATCTGCGGTCTTGGTAGGTGCGATAGGTCGGCTAGGAGCCTTCTGCAGTGCTTCTGTTTGCGTGGCAGCCGTATAGATACGTGCCAAGTCCGTTTGGGTCTGGACCTTTTCCACGTCCGCCATCGAAGGCACGCGGGTCAGTTCAGTTGCGTCCAGTGTTTCTCCGTCTGGAGTTTCGGATCGAGAGGGTTTCTCTGTCGCATCTTCGCGTTGTTCGTCTTCGGCGTCAGATTCGGGCTTCGGGGACGGCTCGCCATCCCCTTCATGAGCGAACAGTGTCGGGGAGGCGGCTCTGTCGGCGTAGCAATGAGGGCATTGGAAGTCCGGACGTTCCTCAGGATGCAGTAGAACTTTATTCCTGGTTATCCAGCGCAGCAGTTGGCCAGCTGTACTATTGCGGATGAGGCCTTCCATTGGTCAGAAGACTGTGTGCTTTCCTTTCTACTGAGTAGATGAGAAATAGAGGAGCTTGACTGATGCGAGAACGCATTATTCCATGAGCGCCATCTTCGTGGATTTATACCTATCGTGAAGCTATGCTGGTATACTTCTTCGGATTATTCAGCTCTCAAACAAAGACACCTTTTTGCTTCCATGGATGAAGGAAGCGGCCATTATTCAGCCACCAGGTGTCGTGCTGCATTGGAGGTGGTTGCGATAAGATGTCGATGATTACTGATCGGAAACGAAGCCACGCCATCATCGACAGCTCTAGATACGAGAAGATGCAAAATGAGCTGGACTCGTGTTTTCCATCGAATTCGGTTGGCTGGCTTGGTAAGCGTATCTTAGAGTTTTAGCAGCCCATGGAAAATCACGTCAGCCCTAGTAGCGTGGGAAAAAGGCATTGGCAATCCGACTCAACAGCTGACAATTAGATTTCAACCGTGCACCAAGCGCAGAAAATGATCTGTGCAGTTTTCGGGCATTAATAATGACCTGTCAGATTTAGATTTCGCAAGATTACCGCGAGGAAAGCTCGGGGATCTGCCATGTCAACACGCATACTCGGGTGGAGAGCCTCCCATCTCCACTGACTGGACTACTCAAAAAACTTATCTCTTCGGAATGATCCCCACACAGCGCATGGGAATTTGAGGCTCATCTCCTACAGCAGTAGTGAGCAAGATTGATTTGACGTGTCGCGGCTACACAGGCTAGATGATCACCGCTTATCAGCCTCATCCTTTCTATCCCGAAGGTAATTCCGACATCAAAGGCCCGAGAGAAACATCAAATCGATTGCCCTCTGTCAAGCATCTTACGAATTGCTTCTCTCAAGAGTCTCATGATGAAGGTGACAGTTTCTGTAAACTGGTGGACCGGACATGGTCAAATCCTCTTGTGACGGTCGCTGTGGCTAAAAAGTGGCCAGATGGATGTTTATAACCAGAAAAGAGAACTTATATGAAACTGAAGTCAAACCGGGCAATTCACTGCCAATATCAATCTGATTAAATCGACTTCGTCGGACACAATCGGCGGGCCATTCATCCGTGTCAGCCTGAGGCAAGATGATTAATGTCGCTGCTGGCCAATCAGAGCCATGGAATGTGGCCGAACCGCCGATCCACTCGGGGTGATTCTACCCGCGGATTAGATTGAGCTTCACCGTGACTTGTATAAGCCCGAGTTGAGTGAGCATTGCTCCCTTAATCATCACCATCATCAATAATCTGTATGTATCGGAGACTTTTCTGCACTCCTCATATTATGCGTGATGTACAGAATATGGCCGAAGGTATTTATTACCTTGCGACCACTGCCCGCCATCATGTTAGGCTCAAGCAAATTCATTCCATCTTCTGCCTCGTTGCAACCTGGATTCCAAGCACCCGTGTAACACTATGGCAACTTTGCGTCAGTATACCAGCCTCCGAGACACCGTGAGGGCGGACATAGCCAGGTTCTACCCCTGCTCCGACAGCTCCTCGGGCATATCGACCCCGGAAGAGAAGGCATCTGCCCTTATCCCTGGGGTGCAAGTCTCTCGTCCAGACGAACAAGATGGTTCTGTTACCTTTCTGGTTGGCTGGAAAGACGGTGACCTTCACAATCCTCAGAACTGGAGCCGCCCCAAGAAATGGTTTTGCACGGTAGCAACCTGTCTAATCGCCTTGGCCATTACCATCCCCGGTACCATAGACGCCCCAGTCTCCGATGCCTTTAATGAACACTATGGCGTGGGTGCAATTGCGGGGTCCATGACCACTGGTAAGTTGACATTACGAACGCTAAAGAATGCCAAACTGATTGAATTTCCCTGAGCAGGTATGTATCTAATTGGTGTGGGCTTTGGCTCGCTGTTTGTCGGTCCTATTTCGGAAACCTTTGGCCGCAATTTTGTCTACTTCACCAATTTGGCTATTTTTATGCTCTTCGTCATGGGAAAGGCACTAGCTCCTAACTATGGAGCTGCCATTGTCTTTCGTTTCTTAACCGGTTTCTTTGGTGCCGCTCCGATGACCGTTGCGGGTGGCACGGTGGGTGATCTGTGGAACCCTCTCGAGCTCACGTTTAGCCTACCGTTTGTAACTTTGGCGTCGTACTCTGGGCCTATACTTGGTCCTATAATTGGCGCTTACATTCCAGGATCCACATTTAAATGGGTCGACTGGATCTCCCTCATCATCGCCGGAGCAGTCTTCATATTTGTGGCCATATTTCAGCCGGAAACCTACGGCCCGTTGCTACTGCAATGGAGAGCCAAACATCTTCGAGATCAGACAGGAGATTCTCGCTACCAGGTCGATGAGTATGCATCTGCTAGCTCTCTTGGTCGTCGTCTTCTTGTCAATGTCTACCGTCCTTTTCAGATGACCTATACTGAGCCGATTATCCTGGTTTTCTCCTTCTACTTGGTCCTCTTATACATTGTATTGTTCACCTTTCTGAATGGATTTCCCTTCATCTTCACCAACACTTACGGCATCTCCACCTCTCTCACCTACGTCATCTTCGTGTCCATGCTTGCGGGAGACGCCGTTGCCCTCGTGCTCATACCGATCCTCTATCGTTGGACCAAGCAGGCGGCGGCTAAGGCTGCGGCCGAAGGAAAAGCCCTACAGGCGGAGGTATCACTCTATTGGGCAATGGTTGGGGGCTCGATTTTGATGCCAATCTCCTTGTTCTGGATGGGATGGACCTGCTATGTAAGTCGTCACTGGCTCGTTCTGCGAAACCCCAACATTACTGACAGAAGGACACAGCCCGGTGTCAGCATCTGGTCACCAATCATCAGCACGTTAGTTTTCGGCTACTCTCTCGTCACCATCTTCACGGCGACATACCTCTACATCTGTTTCGTGTACACGACCTATGCCGGTTCCGCCCTCGCCTTCGTGTCGTTCAGCCGCTATGTTATCTCGGGCGCATTACTGCCCGCATCTGTGCCGATGTACCAACATATGACTCCGCACTGGGTGCTCACCATGGTGGGTATCTTGGCTACCATAATGGCTCCTGTGCCATTCTTACTCTACCGCTATGGTCACCGAATTCGGGCCATGAGTAAGCACGTTCAGAATAAGGCTTGAGCTACTGGCGCTGTGCCATTACACAGATGACCAGCATCTAGAGAGAGGTGCCGTTAGACATAGAGTATATGGTATACTGTATAGATTCTTTTTTAATGAGGTTTTCTAATTTTTTGTGGATCTGGAGCCTAACTAGAGCAGATATGTGACTAATCCTAGATTTGGAGGTTATGCGATTGTTTGTAATGATAATGACGGTTCAAGACGCTTTTCCATCCCTCTAAGAACTTGGGATCACAATACAACACAGACTAGTCACTAATTCGCAGCCTTGGACTACTTCAGAGCCCGCTTATCTGTCTCATATTGCAAATAGATGCCTGATATTAAAGGCGCTAGCGTCATCCACTAGCGCCTGGGCACGCCGCCCTCCTTCGCGCTTTCTCACTATCTCACTCAATTATTCAATCTCACTGACTTTCCTAATGTCTCCCATTTACTTGCTTCGGTACCCTACGTGATTGCAGACTCTTTTGCGCCGTGAGAAGCAACGCTTTTTGGAGCGCGTTGCAGCCGGTCAATGGCCTCGACTGACCGCAGTACAGCTGCGGAGTCGAGCGACGCCTGGGATAATTCCCCGCAGCACGACACCTATGCCGCTCCTTACGGTCGCTCCTGCGTAGACTGCTCACAGGCCAAGTGCAAGTGCATCTACTCCAAAGCCAGCGGGAAATGTCAGAGGTGCGTATGTTGCTTACCTGTTTAGTTGCCATCGTAACAGATTCATAGATGCCAACGCCTGGACAAGGAATGCCGCCAGCCTGCTACTACCCGTCGCTCGACCAAACGAAGATCAGCCGTATCTAAGAATATATCGAAGACGAACCGGCTGGAGAATAAGATAGAGGATTTGGTTGCGCTGCTCCGAGCTGGCGTACACCCCGGAAATGCTTCTACAACTTTACTCAGAGAGCTGGCGCAATTACCCGAAAACCAGAAGTTCGCCAGCAGTAATGCTGCGTCGCCACCAGGCCGATCTGACATCTCCATGAGCAGCTCGGGGCTCAACTCAATTGATACACGTCGCACAAATGACACAGAGTCGACGCCAGAAGCTAGCCTGTCGGACGGCGGAGGCTCGTTATCCACCGGCGCATCGGCCGAGCATGCCATGGAGCCGACAGGCATCCAGGCAGAGGAATATTTTACTATATTCCTCACTAAGATGCTACCGTACTTTCCCTGCCTGTATGTCCCGTCAGGCACGACTGCAGAGAAACTTCGTCGTGATAAACCATTTACATGGCTTTGTATCATGGCTATCGCGTCCAAAAGCAGCGCACAACGTCGCATTCTCTTTGATCGCATCAAACACACGGTAGCGCAGAGATTGGTGCATGAATATTCATGCCGAGAACTTGATATGCTACAAGGGCTTTTGTTATATCTTGGATGGTATGTAGTCAGTCATCACGGACACTGCCTGTCGGCTGACATGCGGTGTCAAGGTCCAATCAGCAAGTCTACAACAAAGCCAACATCTATGTATTTACACAGTTAGCGACGGGGATTGTATACGAAATGGGTCTCTTCAATCCAGAGGCGAAGGGGAAGCACATGCTGCTGTGCGTTCATCCAGAGCCACACGAAAACCGTACAGCACCCCCGCGCCAGGTTATGGAGGAGCGCAGGGCTGTTCTGGGGTGCTTTCTACTGACATCGACGTAATGACTCCCCATGATTCCGTCTAATCACAATAAATGATGTACTAACCTCATTCAGTATCGCGACCTTCCTTCAGCAGAGTGACTCTTTGCGTTGGACACGTCACTTGGAGGACTGTCTTCGCCTTCTTGAAGAGCAGCAAGAGTGTGCCAATGATGGTATTCTTGTGCAGCAAGTTCGACTTCAATTAGTCACGGACGGACTAAGTCTGGGTAGCAGGTATGGAGGTTCATCGGGCGTTGAGTCGATGCGACCGTCGCCTTCCGTTTATCTCCGTCCAATGCAGACGCAGCTGCAGTCACGCCTCCAGGAAATTATGAGCAGACATGGCTGTCACTCCAAAGGATATAGTTAGTCCTCAAGGTTCCACACACTACATACGGTTTCCATGCTCATATTGACTAGAAATCGTTCTTTTACATCATTACAATACGTCGTTGAGCCTTTACGAGTCTGCACTCCCGAAGGGTGCTATTTCATCAACTGTTAATGTGACGTACGAGCACCTCGACTACCTGTACGGTTGCCTCGACGCCACAAAGTCATGGTTCGACGTCTTTTTGAGCATACCGCCTGGGGAATATATTGGTTTCCCATTCGCCGTATTTGCTCAAATGGTCCAAAACCTGGCAACTCTCTTCCAGCTCTCAACTCTGGAGAGTCCGCTTTGGGATACGGCCAATGTTCGACGAACGGCCGATATCTTGAGGATTTTGGACACCATCGTTAGTCACATGAGTCTAGTGTCGACCATAAATGGATTGGATGGAGGTACTGAGGCGGATATATGCTCCATAATAGCTCAGACATATCATGCTGTCCGCGTGGGGTGGGAAACGAGGCTGAATACTGATCCTATAGTGTCATCTGTGGTCGATCCAGTCCCACCAATCATTGATCAGAATCTTCCCAACATCCCGCCTATGCCGTCGGATGCTTTGCCACTGATGGGAGACAATGACTGGTTAACAGATATGCTGAACACCATGAACCAGACCGAAAATGGATGATCGCATGCCAAAACTACATGCGCTACAGCGCTGTCTACACTAATGTTACGGCCTACCGCGATGCACGAGTGTCAGAGGTCTCTGATTTATTACCGCCAGAAAGCCGGAACGCGCCAAAAATGAAGATCGTACAATTGTTAAGATCCCCGACGATTGCACGATCCTCATGGTTCGTTGGTTTTACCGTTTTACCTATATCACCTATGTACAACAAGATTGTACGGGACAACACGGAAGACAACCCATATGCACTCGCTAAGCAACCAAAGTCACCCTAACCAGCCATTGTCTTCTCCGCACGGCTTCTGGTCACGTTCAGTCTTCTCCGCAATGCTTCCTCAAAGGCGATACTCATAGACAGTTCTTGGTCATCTTGGGAGTCATTGTGATGGCGACAGTAAATGCGAGCAAACATCCCCACTAATGTTTGTACTCTGTCCAATTCATTCATCACAACCTGGACCACCATTATTCTAGAATAACTTTTGCTCAATTCAATTCCATCAATTTTGAATGGAGCAAACTCCAGGACTGTAGTGCCCAACTGAGAACTCAAGGTTTCACAGTCTGAAATGATTTTATCATACCAACTGAGAATCTTGATGATCGCTTGGGCCACCAACGCGGAGAAATAGGGTGGAGTTATCACGGGGCAATCACATTCCAGCACCGATGTAAGCTTATCCATTGCATCGTTATTGAGCCGCAAGACTGTACCAATGTTTGGACATTCAGACATGTCCACATCCGGGACAGAATAGTCAAGCGGAAGGTGGAGTTCTTTGAGTGTGTCCAGCATTAAGCTGGTGCAGGATTGATTGTACGCGAAGGAGTTGCTGGGGCTAGGGGAGAATGCGCGGGAGGAACGTAGCAAAGGCGAGACCGGAATAGTCGACGAAGCCATCTGATAATCTGGCTGTGCAGTTGCCAACGTAAAAGTCAACTGAGGCGTGGTGATGTCAAATGGAAGGTTAAGCTCGTGGTCCAAGAATTGCCAGTCCTCCAGATGTTGACTGCCAGGAGAAATGAGAGTTGATGTAGACGTGACTGTAGTCCCCGAAGAACAGTCGAGATAGATGTCTGGTGTCGGTTCAGGATCGTAGAACGTAGAGAGTATGTTCAGGTCTAGACCTGTCGAGCAGGGGAGAGAGATACTAGGCGAGCGATGAGAGAGTCGTGGCCGTCCTTTCGGTCGAGCGAGCCCGTAAGTGCACGCTTGATTCCTCAAGACGCAACGCTCACATCGAGGATGTTGCTTTCCACAGCGCAACTTGGACTTGGCACAAGCGTCGCAGCTGTTACGGGTCTTTCGACTGCTTGTAGTGTTGGAGTTGTCGTCAGACAGACTGGGAGTTGTGGATGGAGGTGAGAGGTCAAACATTTTGATTTTGGTAACTTTATTCACTTAAATGTTAAAGTGCTATCACTTTTACCTTACTACCAGACTGTTCTCCTGGCAGGGTACTTATATCGATTCCATCTTTGCTAACGGCCAACTGAATCTACGAATTCCGTGCACAAAATGAAGCGGACTTGATCTCTACGTGAGCGCAAATCCGATGATAGCATGATGCAGTAGTATCTAAAAAGCGCGCCCTTAGGGGAAGAAAGTCAATGATTGGTCTAATTCTAATGTTAAGAACCCCGCCAAGAACCAATTCCGGGCGGGTGTCATCTACAATTGAGGCGACTGTGGATGTCGGGAATCCCCCGAACCCCGATTGAATCCCGGCGGTCAGTGGGTTTTGGCATGGTTGACCGCTTTGTCAGGTGATTTGGAGGGCTGGATGTTCACGTGATTATATACAATATCGGTATTGTCTAACGGTTATGTGACGATGTGACGATGAAAATGATAAGATTAATGTCTTTTTATTATTCTAAAACTATAGGAACTATATATACATCCAAAGTGAAAAGGGATTCTGTCTGGTCTATAGTATACGGATCAATAATCTAGCGTTCATGCAAGCAGTTGACAGTGGTCTACATGGTGTACACATATTGAATTACTAAGTAGAAAAACAATGTACAGAACTACTTCAAATACATGATAATCTTACCACGATCCCAAGTCTAGGCAGCCTGCAGAACCGCCATCGCCAACACACCCGGGACCAACAATGCCCTACCCATCTCTGAGAGACCCGTCGGCACCACACCTCCACCACTTGACGTCGCCGTCGTAAATGTCAGCGTGGCAGCAGCCGTCCCCGTCGAAGCTGCAGGAGTATACGCCGTAATACTAGCCGGCCAATCTCCGACAGCACTCGGCAACGCCGTTCCAGTGCCAATTTCCACAACTTCATCTTCACCCCCATCCTGATCATCATCATCCTTCAGCGTCGCCACCCCAACAAATTGATTATTATAATCCACGGCGACATACATCCTTCTCACAAAGGGGACACCCAGCTCCGCATGGGTCTTGTAATCCGACTCCTGGGCCTGGATACCGAACTTGCACAGTCCGTCACGCGTCCAGGGGACGAAGAGCTCATCCCAGCCTACAGAGAAGGTCATGTTTCCAATGACTAGGGAGAAAGTATGGAATTCGCTTTCCTGGCGGGAGCAGGGAAGGACACCGTAGAATCTTGAACTGGAAATTACGCCGTCGGTGGTTATGTTTAGGTCGTTGTAGAGGGATTGGACGGTTGAGTTAGGGAGGTAGGTGATTAGTTCGTCGGTCCTGAGCATCATGGGGGTCGAGGAGGGGATGGGGTAGGTTGAATTGTCGTTGGTGTTGGTGGTTAGTTGGAGGGAGTCGGCTTCGAGAGTGACGAAGGGGTTGTTGGTAATGGTGTGATCAGCGAAGGAGAAGGCTTGTAGTGGCCCGTTGAATTTGGAGGTGTTGATGCCTCCGAAGATAATGCTGGGGGTGGTGGTGTTGCCGTTGTCGCCGATTAGGCTGAAGGAGGGTGAGGTGGTCAGGCCGCGGTCAACGAGGATGTAGGGGAAGCTGGTGTTGACGGAGGAGAGGCCGAGGGAGCTGTCTACTTGAGTGTTAGTTGATGGGCTATGAGTGGCGAAGAGGGGAGGAACTGACAGGAAATGTAGGACAAAAGGTACATGTCGAGTGGGACTTGGTCGGCTGCGTGATCTCCAAGCGTTATGGTATCGGTGTAGGTGTAGTCCACGCCTGCATCGTGTTTCTGTGTGTAGGTGAGGTGCTGATAGGTGGATGAATCGGTAGGTTTGTAGAAGCCGAATTCCGAGCAGAGTTCATCGTCGGAACAGGTGTAGTCCTCATCGAGGGTGTATGCGGGCTCGACTCTTGAGCGCGTAAGATCAAGTAGGAAACTTAGTGACTGCGGAGGTGTTCCGATCGAGGAATTCATCCAGTAGCTGTCGCCCTGTTGATTGTTAGGGTTGTCGAGTTGGTGATATGTATGGAGAGTGAAATGGCAGACTGACATATATCACTAGGGGAGCTTCTACTGTCTTGAGGCTGTCCCGCTTGACAACATGGACATCCTCAAGATGGTCAAAAGGAAAGGGAACCACGGATGAATCATCTCTCTGGCTCGATAGGGCACTGCTGCAGATGGACAGTGCCAACGTGATGGTGAGGCGCGAAGAACTTGATGGCATGGTAATGAAGTGAGATCAGACACATCTACCTTTCGACGACTTTCTAAAATCGGTCTGTTGACTGGGGTTTCTCATCGATGCAGGGCCTTGCTTTTATTAAGTGAGGATAGACATCACATTTACTCCCAAATCAAGGAACCACGGGGCACACTCCGCCGCCCGCTTGGCAGCCCCAAGGCCAAGGCTCGAAGACCCTGCAAGACGAATAACGAGCTCCATTTCAGGCACATAAAGGGACTATATTTCAGGGGTCCAAGCCATGCGAATCTCGGGTGGGGGTAGGATTAGCCTTTACTGGTAGAGGTTAGGGTTGCCGAGAGTCCGGCGAATCCCAAGTTTGATTGTAGGGAATCCGATTGGACGGAGGAATCACCCAAAGTCTGAGGTTACATTGGGGCTCGTATTGATTCAAGTTGTTTATTTTATGCTGCACAGCTAGGTATAAGTGCTGGGTCTGTATTCTTGGCTGTTTGATTATTTTGTTGGGTTTCTTGAAATTGAATCATGCGGAAAAGCCTCATCCGTTTAAGGCTGACATTAACTGAGTATGGAACAATTTAACCCAACTGGATTAGATCATCATAGCCGAGATCACATGATATAAGCGTCTCTCAGGCACCATATGTCAGGCATCATCTTCATCTTTGCTTTTGCTGTAATTGGGCGAGGGCCTCCTTCTCCGCAGACTATAACAAGCCTGGATTTCAATGATATGGTTCTTATGGCGATAGGTCATGATGAATCCCATAGACGGCCTGTTCACCTCGTCCCGGCTGACTAAGACCCTCATCGCTTTGCTGACCTTGACTAAGAAGAGGATGAGGCTGAGCAGAGTGGCTTGTCTCGTGTTTATCGCTTAACGCCCGACTGACCTGATGTGAAACCTTCTGTTGGAGCGGGGCAGCGGGCACTGATGCTGTCAATCATTTTTCAGTAGGTGCTAATCCTAATCCTAATCCTACCCTAGGTACCCCAAGTTCAGCTGCAATGCCGAATATGTCTTCCAACTCCTCCAATCCAGATGCAGACCCAAACCAGACTTGTCCACACGTGGTTCTGCGGAAAAGGGCGGATTACATTGGAATCGAGAATACCCCCATTGCCATCTTTCTGATAAATGCATCTATCTGTTTGGACTGTAATCTGGTGTTGCAAGTCATTGAAGCTGTCAAACCGGGCTGGGTAAAAAAGAACGCGTATCTCGGTCTAGTTGACTACCAGCGGGCGAAATCAGAGGACGACTGGTTTACTATAGTACCTCAATTTACCCTGCATCTGCAGCAGCCCGAGGGAACGGAAGACGTTGACTTGGACCAACCTACGACCTTCCACATTCTCAAACGTGCTGCCACTGCACGTTACGAAGCGCAATTTTTTGATTTTCATTTCGGCAAGAGCCCCGAATATACGGGGAAATTTCTCGCTCAATCCCTTGAAGTGACGCATGATTCAGGCTCACCAGCAGCTTTCGAACGAGCTCGTCACTGGCTGTCATACTGTGACGAGCATGACGGAGCTTGTAAGCCTCCGAACCCTGATTACAAACCGCGGCGTCTTGTCAATGTCGGCTCGTCGGATGGCACACGCGAGCCATTCCTATTTGAACCTGTCGAGCCGGTACGCTACGCATGCCTTAGCTACTGCTGGGGAAAGGATCTTGACCAAGTCCTGACCACGACAACCCATAACCTGGAATCGCACTACCAAGCTATCGAATTCACCACATTACCACTCGCCCTTCAAGATGCCATCACTGTCTGCCGAAACCTCGAGATACCTAATCTCTGGGTCGACTCTTTGTGCATCGTCCAAGATGATCGGATTGCCTGGTTACACGATGCATCTGCAATGCACGATATCTATCTCAACTCGTACCTTACCATCTCAGTCATGGAACCCAATTCATGCAAAATGGGATTCCTCGGCAAACAGCGCTTCGGTGCCCCTACCTGGCAACAACTCCTTTGCACTATCCGCCCCGACACCGCCCCTCCTTTGGACCTGCTAATACGCCCCGGGAAGTTCTACCCCAGATCATATCGAGACCGATCATCTCTCGACACAAGAGGATGGTGTCTACAAGAATCCGTCCTACCCAACCGCAGACTCTGCTACGATGGCAACGAAATGATCTGGGAGTGTCTTTGTCGCCAGCTCTGTGAATGCGGACACGCAGTGGCACCCCAAGTACCACGACACACGACTCTCGATTACGGCAAGCTCGGGGCTTCTATCAAAACCGAAATCCTGAAGACGAAAGTCCAATCCGAGAGACAAGGATATCCGGAGTGGCATCGGTCTTCCCTGGGCTCACGGTTATGGCTTGAGCCTCACCAGGCACCATACCAGAGATGGAGAGATCTTGTCTCGGATTATTCCCACAGGTCACTCACTAAGAAGCATGACCGGTTACGAGCTATTTCTGGACTGGCGAAAATGGTGGGGAATCATATGCGGCAAGGGTCCGAAGCAGCGGTTGAGTATCTGGCTGGTCTTTGGAAGAAAGAGCTTCCGTTTGATCTGTCGTGGGAGGTTGAGCCCCCTAATGAAGGTGGGGAGATACCGGAAAACGGGACCGTGAACGCGAACGAAGCTGCATACTATATTCCGACCTGGTCGTGGGCATCTGTGGGAAGACCTGTCACCTATCGATTTGACCTTCCCTTGGAGATATGGAAATATGAGCCCGTGGCCATTGATCAGTGCATCGTCGAGCGAGTCCACTGTCAGCATGAGCTACTGGAGGACCCTATGAGTGCTGTTACAGACGGTTCTATTGTTTTGACGAGCGCCTTTGCGCCAGTAAAACTGATACGCCTTGAGGGACTACCAGAGAAGCAGAAAGGGCAAGTCATTCATGAAGACGAAGTCCGACATTATACCTTCGTGCAGTGCTCGGATGGACAGAAGGTAAGTGTGACCCTCGATAAGCCGGAGGTGCACAATCCAGACGAAACATATTACTGCCTCCGGTTATTTTCTTGGGTGTCTGAGCGGAATCAGAGGATGGGCCCGGAAACATGGTTCCTCATATTAGTGCCATCGACGCACAAGCTAGGCGCTTTTGAGAGAAGGGGGGTTGGTCTGTGGGATAGATTGCTAGCAGATACGGATAGCAGGTCGTGTCCTATCTTCGAGGGGAGTGAAACTGCTACGGTGGAGATTGTTTAGATGAGATTGATGCTTGGTTGGATTGGGTGGAGATATGACAGATCTGTAATAGATGATCTACATTAGTTTGGCTTTGGATTGTAGTAGTCGGCTGGTCTGCGTGGTGGGCTCATTTTGGATATAGTAATGGTGATTAGGATTGACAGTAGATGAATGGGAATACGAGAATGCTACAGCCTGATATCTACAGGATCCATGTTGCATAATATCTCATGGCAATTGGACATCACATCAATAATCGTCATGAATATGACAGCATCTCACTCATCCCCCACACCCATCACTTCGTCGCTTATCCCCTAACCCAATACCAACACCCCATCTCATCCATCACAACTAAATCAAGGCTCCAAAAGAGTCAACTTCTCCGGCTGCTGCAACAACAACAGCGGCCCAGCAAGCACACTGTCCTCCGTCGGCGCCCCAGCCTCATTAGCCACAGCGAGGGCAATAATACCAGCCCCCTTATCAAACTCCCCTGGAATAACCGTCTCATTAGTGCTGATATCAAACGCCACACTGATATTCAGCACCCCGTGAAAGAACACCGCATAGTAATCCCCTCCCTCCGTAAACCCGGGATCACTACTAAACTCCAACTGAATCTTCGACCCAGGATGCCCAGTAGTAGTATTCGCCACAAACCCAATCCCCGGCAAGTTCTGATTCGGGTACGGATACTCCGGGTTCTCAGAAGGACAACTCCCCGAGACGACGAAGGAATTCGTCAACGCCAGGATCTGGTTCGCGTACGGATACACCGTATCTGCGGGTCCAGCGAAGGGACTCACATCCCAGACATCAATGAGGGACCAGACGTTGTGACGGGTCTCGACCTCGGCAACGGCGACAAGTGCGGAGCTGGTATCGGTTGTGTTGGATTCGCGGACGAGGCCAGTTAGGAAGGCCATGCTGTTGACTTCGATATAGACTTGGAGGGCGAGGAAGGTTTCTGGGTCGTTGTCGAAGCCGAAGCTGTAGTTGCAGGGGCCCGGTTTCAGCGATGTAGAGGAGATTTCGTCTTGGAAGATGCGGATGTGGCCGGCTTCATTGTCGCGGATTTCGGCGATGCGGTCGTATGTGTTGTTCGGGTAGCCGAGGTCACTGAAGGAGGAGGGAGTGAAGGCTTCCACGCCTTGTTGGTAGAAGGAGTAGATGATCCATTCGGCGCTGAGGAGGTTTTGGAATAGAAGGTCGTCGGGACCGGCGGGACCGGAGGTTGTTGCTGGGATGACTCGGGTGTAGTTGGCTGGGATGGGGGTGGGCCTGCCGGTGTATGTTGCGAAGAGGGGGGATTCGCCAGGGATGGGGTTGGAGTCGAGCTTGGGGGATCTGGTTTTGGGGAGGGTTAGAGATAGCCCTATGAGGGAGGCTAGGGAGAGGATTTTGTGGGATAGCATCTTGATGTGAAGCTGAAGCTATCGGGTCTTCTGGGTAATCTCAGCTGAGCTTTTAGACAAAAGATGAATGTTTCAGATGGGCAGTGTAGATTTCAATTGAATGCTTGAGATGAGCAGTGATATTTATATGGTCTCTGCCCAACTTCTTGATCTTTTACAACATCAATTCGGATAAGTACTGACATCAGACGCATTGACAGCACTGAACTGCGCCACTCTGAGCCTCTGTGCCCAAACCATGATTCTCTGGCAGTGCATGTAATAGGATAAATGTGTTGCACGTAACTGTATCCCGATGCAGTCATATTTCCATGTCCGTCAGTTAGAAAGTTGACCAATCGTAACAGCATCATATATGCAGATGGGACTAGCCCTAATCTGGAAGGTGATTCGTAGAGACGAATCAAATTTCCCGATGCGGTAACGCGGGGTAGCCGGGAGCTCAAAAAGTCAAAGAAAACGAAGCCTCGCAATGTGGACTCAGCCCCACGTCAGTTAGGCATTGCCCATGATATTAGGAAAAAGGGTCGCGCTCAGACAAGCCTCTTGTTACGTAGCTTGGCATTAGTCGAGAACGGTGTTTTAACGTAGCACACGGAGAATTCCTCCGATCCGATGCTGCTGCCTTGTCCTTGTAGGGCCACGTCTCAGCCACTGAACGAGGATACTTGCCAAAAGCGGTAATGTGTTTCGTACGGACATACGAGACTTCAAAGGCTTTCGTGAAAGAAAAGGCTTGCATGGTAGACTTTTATGGATGGCTTGTCTATAAAAGTCGCATCCGGCCATGCTGGAGCTCGGAGCTATGATGATACAGATTTTGAATCATTCGAGTCACTCAGAAGATAAAGAAAGTGCAAATTATCGTGTCATTCTGTCCGCGTACTAGTTGGATCAATACCAAAAATGACTGTCGTCACAGAAAAAGGAGTTGCGATTGCCGAGTTAATCGTCTATATACCCATATCCTTGGTTACTCTCTTCGTTGTCCTCCGCCATGGCTTTCACAGACAGCTCGGGTGGATCTACCTCTTCATATTCAGCGGAATTAGAATCGCAGGTGCTGTGATGGAGATCCTCAGTGATTTGCATCCAGACAACACCTCAGATGTGGAGTGGGCTATCATATTGCAGTCAGTGGGGCTCTCTCCACTGCTGCTGTCTAGTCTTGGCTTATTGAAGAGAGTGTATGTTATCTCCTGAACAACCTTGTTAATTTGACCCCATCAAGAAACTCACAATTGACAGTTTCGATGAGATTTGCAACCATGAGCCATCAGCCCAAGGCTCTCAAGCCACTTCACTATTGCAGAGATTGAGTTCCTTCAGCATTGTCGCAACGAAGATGTAAGATCCAATACTTAACCCGGGAAATTTTGACGCTGACACAGTTGTATTAAGTCTAGGAATCTATAACAAGAAAGCAACCGCTATCTCTGGTCGCAGCAAAGTCGTTCAGTTACTCCATATCCCAGCCCTTATTGCGTTGATTCTTTCGATCATCGGCGGAATAAATCAATACTCGTCGAACACATCCGAACATTCTGAAGGACAAAACGAAACCAAAGCTGGGATCATTCTGTTCCTCGCAATATACATCGTGCTTTGCATCCTGTGGTCGACAACATTCAGGGACCTCCCTCGGATGGCACCAAGCCAAAAGCGTATCGTCGGCGTGGTCCTGTTAGCGTCGCCATTGATAGCTTGTCGTCTGCTGTACAGTCTTCTCACCGATTTCACCCATGACCGTCAATTTTCCTTGGTCGATGGAAATGTGACTATCCGGCTTTGCATGGCCACCATCGAGGAATTTCTTGTGGTTCTGATGTACACCGTGCTGGGCGTGTTTACTCCTCGTTCTGAAGTCGCAGCGAACACGACAGATTCAAGTTCTCAGAAAAAGTCATATCAATCCGGGAATATGCAGTTCCATACTTCGCCTCTTGATCCTCGCAATGCCCATAACCTTGGCGGGTACGAGCCAGTTTAGCCGAATACAGCAGCTCCCGGTGGTTGCGTCTACCATGTGGCGAGAAATCAGGCAAACAAAAGACTGGAAGTTGAGAGTTTGATAATAATGTTGATTTTTTGCCATCTTTCATTCAAAAGCATTTGTTGTTTGAGAAGTCGAAGAGTCGTAAACCTTTCTCATGCCTTTTTCATGCCTGAATAATACTAAATCAGTGTAGAGAAGCGGAAGGCGTTGTCAGCTGTCTATAGAGCTCCGGCTTCGTTCAACATTGCCCCATCCCGGTCGTCTTGTTCTGGTGAAGAATACTCTGGAGATAGCCAGGCCCGCGTACTCTCGCCCTCTCGTACCAGTTGTGCCATTGCTAATGCCTGGTTGATTCCCATAGAACGGCCAATTCTGCTTAAACAATCTATGATCCAAGCTCGAAGTTCCTTGGAGGCATAACCAGAATCCGCAGCAATCAACAAAGGCCACATTAAGGCGAAACCACCGGCCGCTGGAACCACCAATGGAGACCCAGAGAACAAGCGAGGCGACTTAGATGCACGATGCTTATATATGTCTGACGAGCTCTGAAAGGTTGAATGACTGGAGGTTTTGTCGACATGGTTGTCGTCCACAACCGATCCGAGATGAAATGGCACACTTGCGCAAATATCCTCAACTAATTGACGGGATATTTCCTGGCATTGCCGCAATACATGATGATGTGCTTCTTTTGTGTTGCCGAGCAAAGGAGTCTTCATGGCTCTGATTGCTTCAACGATCAATTCCAGGAGTACCAGCCTGGCAGATCGATAGTTGTTCCAGAAGCTACTCACGGTAATATCTCGGTAAGTGTGATATTGGGCTCCCCAAACAGTGTTATCCATATGCACTCTGTGAGCTAGGGCAACGTTGACAGTCCTGTAGCCCATTGAAGCAGGTATATCGGACATTATCGATTGGAGCTGTGCATCTAATTCTAAGGCGCAACGCACTATGTCCGAAGGGCAACTTATTGTACCCTCCTTGATATCTGCACAGAGATCACCGAGTGGAATGGTCACGCCACTCAGTCGATCGATAATTGTATCGTCTTTATTCAGTCGGTATTTTGCTGCTTCTTGACTGAGGCCACGAATCACTGCCGAGGTATGCTTTTGCCGATACACATGACTGAGCACCTAGACAGCTTCTGATTAGTATCTTCTCTATATTTGTCCCATTGAAAGAGATATAGCTAAGAATCGGACTAGGTTGACTCACTATCTGGGTACGTAACTGACTGAATAGCACCAATCCTTCCGGTCGAGATAATTGCTCTCGACCCCTGGTCTCAATCAAAATTGCCGCGCCATCTAAGTGCTTTATCCATCTTGTCATAAAGAGGTCATCGCCGCAGGTCAATACCTGGGAAAAATCTCGTTAATCTAAAGCAGCTTGCCACTCAGGTGAATCTCTCACTTCAAACATGCTCAATAGCACAACTGTTGCTAAAGTTTCATCCCTCGTACACAGATGCGCGTTACCGAGGGAGTTATTAGTTTGCGACAACGCGGCCATATAGTGTTTACGGGCTGTATACATCATCTGGGGAGACCTATGGATATTGGACAAGGCCGCCAGACCGGCAGCCGTAAGAGCATCGTCCACAGCGGAGCTCTCCAAATGATTTGTCAGAGTCGAAAGATACGGCATATACGCCCCTCGATCACCCTTGGCAATGTAATTCACAAAGAGATATCCCTTCGCCAGTTCTGCGGTTGGATGAGATAGGCTTGAGGAAGGTGAAGGCGAGTAAGTCAGCATTTGGTTGCTGTCACCCTTGACGGTCCGCTTTTGTCGCTTGCTAATTTCTTTGGATTCCTTTTCGGCTTTGAGTTGTGCCTTGCGAATAACATCACGACTTTGGTCACGAAAGGTATACTCCAAAGCAGATCGATACCCGGGACAGTCAACTTTAGCCCGAATGCACTGGGAGCATGCTGGTCTCCCCCAATCGCACTATTAGATAGCAGTTTTTGTTTAGCTTATTTCAACATTTAAACCATTCACTCTGCCCCTCTCCGCGTCTGCCAATGTACATGACGGCTAATCACAAAGATGGTAAAGTAGAATAAACCACAAATTAGAGACACGCCGGTACCTTTAGGCGCCGCGGGCGACAGCGTTCGCAGGCTAGACTTGGTTTCCCGCTGTAAACCATCCTCGTAGGATGCTAAAATGAATGTCTGTGTGCCTGAAACTGTAGGAAATCACTGTGAGTTTATTACCACCCTTATGGGCCCTAGAAAGACTAAGACTTCCGACAATTGAATTGAGTTGTAGGATGAATTGAAGGAGAAGATAATATTGAGCTTGGCTGATGCCTAAGATGGGAGTCAAGCATTTCACGTGACAGAGCTTATCTCGTCTTAGTACCACGTGCCGGCAACCCAAAATAGTATCGAAGGCCGACATTATCCAGGGATAAGACCTTCACTTCAATCAATGGTGCACAATGTAGACATGCAGCCCCCAAGACTATCATTCATTCTCCTCACTAGTAGGGCTGTACCACGCGTTGTCAGACACCATTTCACTACCCACACAACCCTATGCTCTGGAACCAAGCCAGTGCTAGTCAGGCTCCTGGAAGATGGCTCAGGTAACCGCTTTTTGGCTTCATAGTGCGACTAAAACTGATGAATCATAGAAGTACACATGAATAAAGATGAAATGTTCAGTTATCAACGATGTAGATGGCTGTATGTACCTAAACATTTCGAGCTTGTTCAACTAGTCTCATAACAGTACTAGAAGGAGAGATCCCCAACATCTGGCTGCACGGTACCGTGAATTCAACCTAGACAACCTCCTTGAGGCAGCCAATCTATCAACTTGTCATAAGGGGGCGCGATGTAAAATCCAAGCTTCTGGAAAAATTGTAGTCTGTTCAGCTAACTATACCAAACAGGCGTGAAGCCGTCAAAATGTGTGGAAGGGCAGTACAACAAAGCCTTCGTATTGACGATGGATAATGGTGAACAACTTGTTGCTAGGTTGCCCAACCCTAACGCCGGCCCTGCTTTCTTTGCTACAACCTCGGAAGTAGCAACTCAACATTTTGTATGCAGGTTTCTTCATACGATGTTGAAGATGCTGGCAGATGCCAGGTCCGCGAATTCTTGGGGATTCCGGTCCCGCGCATCTATGCCTGGTCTACAGACAGGTTGAACCCAGTCGGAGCTGAATATATTATCGAGGAAAAGGCCACAGGATATTCGCTTGGGAGTATTTGGGGCCGAATGTCTAGGTTCTCACAATTTGTGATCATTGACCAAGTTGTTGAAATAGAGAGGAAACTGGCATCTGCATCGTTCCCCATGCAAGGGTGCCTCTACTACACGTTCGACAGTTCCTGATGTTAAAGGCCTCGATACTATGCTTAGCATATCGCCAGGGCTGAAGGTAGAGGATTGCAGGCAGTTGTCCTGCTTCGCAATTGGACCATCTAATGACCGAAAATTATGGAATAGTGAAAGAGATCTGATGAAACTGGATAGAGGACCATGTAAGACATAAAGTCATATTCCAAAGAGGTAGAACATCTCTTTCGATATCAACTCTACTGACAACCGTCCAGGGACCAACCCTATTCATTACGTGACTGCTCTTGGAAGTAACGAACTGAACTGGGCAAGATGCCATGCAAAGCCAAGAATGAACTACTACCGGTCAATAGAGACTCCAGAAAATCCCAACGAGTACCTGGCTCTTCTCCAACGCTATCTCGACATTGCCCCACACCTAGTACCAAAGCAGCCCTGCTCTGAATATGACAACATTAACACGCTGTCACATCCAGACCTCCACCTCGACAATGTATTCATCGACCCTGAAACACACCAGATCACTTCCATAATAGACTGGCAACTCGCAGCCATAACGCCATCGTTTTTACAACATCCTCACCCGCAAATGCTGGAAGTCTCGCTTAGCCCAGGCAGCGAAGAACAAAGAAGCAGGGAAAAGGAGCTACTCGAATACTACTACAAAGTAACAGAAAAAGTAAATCCATCCCGGGCTGAGGCATTCAAGGACCCATACCTATCGACACGAGTCTTTCCCATCAATCTGATATCTGGATGTTGGGAACGCGAGGATACTTTCTCACTGCGTGAGTCTTTGATCAAGGTTGCCGCATACTGGGACCAACTCCGGCAAGACGACACATCATGCCCGATTGGCTTTATAGCCGATGAGCTAGCTGCACATGAACACGAAAGGGGGCTAATTGAAGGCCTTTCGAATATTGTCCAGCAATTAGATGAGGAAGGGCTTATTCCGATCGGAGGGATGGTTCGACCGGAGGAGTATGAGCATGCCAAGATGGTGAGTGAGTACTTTAAGAGCGAATTCAAAAATCTAGCCGAGGGCGATCAACAACGAGAACTGCATGAAAAGGTATGGCCTTATTAGGGTTGAGTTTGTGGGTGTATGATGGTGTTGTCATATTGATTGTTCAGAATCCGTGGGACATTATAAGTGCGGATTGGATCTGCTTCGTTTAGGCGAAGGGCGCAATAAAGCATCATTGATAACTTTTTTTTCGGGCGATAATGTTATGAATTTGACAGAAACTGAGGGGATAGAGAGGGATATATCAATATACGCATACTATATGAGCAAAAGAATTCAAAGGAAGTAGGCTGCTGAAAATCACACTCTCCGGACCTAGACAATACTACCATGATTACCACAGGGCATTCAATGGGAATATCCCCTACCTCCAGATTCCAAGAGGATGTAGTATTGGGCTAGTCTGCCTTACGAATATAGCGATGCTGGGAATTTCAGCCGTCATATTTCTCAAGGCTCGATAGAAATCTACCAATCACCATAAGACCACGGCCGCGGATTATTCAAAACACGCAACTCGTCAATGCGCCATCGATCCCACATCACAAACAACCACACCCGCAAATCTTACGCACTGCCAGCAGCAAAAAAGTGTTTCCGCTGGCGCCATAGATTGGCCCATCGCCATATATCTTCTGGCCCACTGTCTGGGTCACGGAACCATGGCTGAGGGATGTACTTTTCTTCGTCCTCGGGACTAAAATTATTGAGATCAGGAGATTCATCCTGCCCGAGTAAACGAGTCATGTCTTTGATGAAAGAGTCGACCCCCATACCATCGACTCGTGTTCCACGTACGACTTGCGCAATCTGTTGTAAGTCCGTGTCCTTCTCCAGCGCGAATCGTCGAATATGAGTAAGGCCGCTAAACAAGTGAGACTCTGGGTATGCCTCTACGTATGATTGAAAGATCGACCAGGGCTTTTGAGGTATAGGCTCCGGCCGATTAGAACTGAGTTTGGGGTCCAAAAAAACTAGAATTTGTTTCCTCAGAGTCAATTCTGACAGGATGATGTCATCAGAAAAGGATGGAAGAAGAAAGATGAAGCGTACCTGGGAGGATGAATTTTGTATATAAGGACTCGGAAACGCAGACTAATTGTTCGTTCTCCCATGGTGCAAAATTATCGACATACAGTTTGCCGGTGTCAGATCTCAGTGCATATTTCCAGGACGGGTACAAATTGCAAAATGTTTCGAATCGATACAGACTGCGACTAATCCGGTTTCTCTCCAATTTGGTTAGCGGAACACCTTGGGACATTATGCCATTCCAGAAGGTGTAGATAGACAAGGCTTTTGTGGCTAAACGGTCGACAAAGTACTGCACGGTCCCGTCAAATCGGTTTATCGAGCGAGCCTGAGAGAGTTTCCATTTCATAGAGTCGACGAAATGGTGTTGGTCGCGGGCAAAGTATGGCGTCAAGAACTTTTCGGCTTGGTCGATGGACCAGTCCTGGATTTTGCTGGATGCGTGAGTTGCTAAGACATCGTGTAGCAGATCAGTGTCAAATTGGCGTAGTATGACTGGCCGCACGATGAACTCTTCTGCTCCTTTGAAGGCGTTATACAGGCAGGGTCCAGTCATGACGGCGGCCTCCAGGGTTTTGATGTCTGGCGCGGCAGCGAGGATCGATTGAAGGAGCTCGACGGGCAGCTCTTCAAGCGGTCTACCTGAGCCCTGTGTCATGTTGAGTTCCGATGTGGTTTAATGACGTTGGTTGCTAAGCTCAGTGAGTGCCAGGAAGGCTGGCTGTTGCTTATTTTGAGTGGAATGAATGGAGGACAAAACAGTGGGAAGGCAGAGGCACTATATAATAGTAGTACGGTGGTCTCAGCCACCAAAGTTTCCTCTCTGCTTTGTTTCTCATGATATCCATTGACATTCTTTCAATTATATGGCAGTCGCGAGCTAATCATGGCGGGTCCCAATAATCCTACAAGAAAAGGGTTGCACCACGGCAGGTGCAGAACATTTTCCACCACTTGAGAGGTTCTCAATTCCATAACCATACACGGATAAAAAGACAACCTAATCCCAATATGGGCTGCTCCAACCCAAACAATGAATAATAGAGGATAGAGCCAACATAGATCCGACAGCACGGTACACAAAGAAGGATAAATGGGCTACAACTTCCTTGTTTACAACATTCTAACATAGTCTTTGTGTGAACACTCTTTGTCCGTAAGTAGAGCAAATCTTGGAGAAAACAATATATCAATTGACTATATCCTACAATCGCATTTCATATCACAATCACCACATAACTGAACGCAATATGCCGTGGAACCAAGCCCCCTTCACCCCCTCAAAACCAAAACTTCCTTCTACTCCCCAAAAAGCTTATTCCCCCTAACCTTCCCCTCAAACCCGACAATATGCGTCGAATGACACCACGGCTTCTCCCGCACCTCCACGCACAGCACATCAGCAAACACCCCACACCACCCGTCCCTACTCCAGCGCTCATTTATCTCCCTCCTCGTATCCTCATGAATCAACTCCCCAAAGTCCTTAACCTGCGGATGCTCCCCCACATTATCATAAATTGTAGCCAACTGTATCAACTGTCCCAAGAACGTAATATTCCCATCGACACCGAGATCCTGATGCCGGATGATAGCTTCTGCTACAGCATCTGCAATGTCACTGGGACAGTCGAAGGAGATTAACATAGAGCGGGCGAAAATGCCGCCATAGAGGTCGAAGGACATGTTCGTTGCGGTGAGGAGGGTAGGAGCGGTGCCGATGTCGTGCAGGAGGCAGGTTAGGGCCCAGGTTGTGGGGGAGAGGGGGTGGGTGGGGAATTGTTGTTTTAGGAGGATCATTCCTTGAATGATGGTTAGCGAGGGGTGGTAAGGGTTGGGATACGGGGAGGGGTACCGTAGTAGTATACGCGCATAGAGTGGTTGATGGTGTCGTGGGGGAGGAGGGATTGGACGGATTCGAGGGTCTTGGCGACGAGGGGATCGGTAGATGGGAACGGGATGTCGGTGATGGGGATGGGAGTGGGTGGGTGGATGAAGGGCTTGTCGGGGAAGATGAGGCCGGCGTTGGCGGGAGTGCTGGTCCAGCCGTTGAGGGAGATGTTGTCGTGGCACATCTTGATGTAAGGGTATAGTGGTGGTTGCTGAGTATAGGATGAGGGTTTTGAGATGAGTGGAAGGTGAATAGGATGATGGGCGATGGGACTGTTGATCGATCTTATATAGATGGGCCTTGGTGCTATGTGTTGGGATTTGTAATATAGTGCTGGCAATGTTACATCCCTATCAAACCATGGATGCATCTGGTGTCATACCCCAAAGAGGCAGTCTTTTGGAGTGGGGCCATCTTGATAGAGTTGATGCCAAGCTCGCGCCCGATCGGGTCTAGATCCACGTGTTTTGCTAATCACAATCTCCGAGGATCAAATCCCTACTTACCAATCCATCAGTACATAAGAGGTGAGAAGGAGTGGTGTTCATGAGTAATACACTGAGTCAGCTTACTGCTGGTTTGAGAAACTGAGTCACTTTGAATAACTATGTATCCGGATTAAACCTAAAAGTTGCAGTAAATGGTTCTATCAGAGCAAAGCCATCGATTAAACTATAACGTATGCAAGATACATGATGACATAAGGAAATAGGTATTATATTCGCACATATATGGTATCATGTAGTATACTGTAGATATATCTCGACGTAACAAGATCAGAATTAGCCCAGCTCGTATCGCTCTACCACCTGCGAACCCATTATCTCCTGCGGCGGCTTATGCATCTTTGTATCCAACTCCTTGGCCGCTTCACTGTGAGCACCTCCCGGCAACTCTGCAAACCCTCTAAACATTGACCTTCGCTGCTCTCCTGCTGGCTCTTGACTCGCTACGCGACGACGGCGAAGCCAAAATGCGATGGCGATACCCGCTGCGATCAACACCGCTCCACCGACTCCCACACCAACGCCGATTCCAATCTTGGCCCCGGAAGACAGGCCACCCTTGGAGCTACTCGTATTGTCGGTCGTTTTGATGCCCCAGTACTTAGCCCAGCTATCCTCCCAGGTACCGTTAGAGGCAGAAAGCGACGTGTCACTCACTGCGATCCGGGTGATGTCTGCGCTGGCATAATCCGGGCCGGGTGCTTGTGCCAGGAACCACGTGCCAGAGTTGTTCCCGTTGAACCAATTAACCCCGACGAATGCGGACTGAAGAAACGCTCGACCGAGCACCGGGGTCGACGTAGTGAGAAAGCACGGGAAGTAGGTGACATTTTGATCAACCAGCGGTTCTTGGAGCGTAAGATTGAGCTGGGAAAAGGGAATCTTGATGGTAATATTCTGATTGTTCACTCCATTCTTGTTGAAGACGAAGGAGAGGTATGCTGCAGAAGACGTGATATTCCAATAATCGCTGCTGCTGGTATCCCAAAAATATAGTCCCAAGCTAGAGTTGAAGGAGATCGGCATGGTGGACGTGATGGCATCGCAAGTCGCCTGGGGAAGGTACATGTAGGGCTTGGTCGGATCGATCTGAACCGTCTTGGCCTGGACGGAGCCACTGCTCTGAAGAAACAATCCACTTTCGTTGGTGAAGCTGAATGGTGAGGAACCCGAAGCAACCCCAAGCCCAATATCCTTCAATTCGAGTTCCAAAAGTCCACTCGAAGACGCTACTCCTTGGGCACTCACGTCTCCGATCACACGGCTCTTATCGTAGCCACCCAAGACCAGAGAACCCGCAATCTCTGGGTCTACTGACCCGATATGCATTCCATACGAGTAGGAAGGGATGTCGTTGGACGAATAAAGCCACCCGGCAATCATGTTGAGAACGGTGGAGTTGGAGACAGTATCCGAGAGGTACGGACCCCCCAGGGCCAGACTGCCAACCGAGACGGGATAGGCAATGCCATTGGGATAAGTCTGATATGTCTGGTAGATGGCTTCGAAGCTCACATTGGGAACGACAAACGACCCTAAGGTGACTTCATCGCCGAGCACAGATTCTTTGCTTCCACCCTCCACAGCCCAGTATGTTGTTTCCCACGAGCTGGGAGTGGTGTAGGCGGTGGTGGAGGTGTTTTGATTGAATGTGCCTGCTTCAGCGGCGTAGCAGGTGGATGACAGAGTTTTGTTCGTGCAGAGAGTGCTCATCAGGATCGTGCTAGCATAGTTGGCACCGGGGTAAAGATCGACCGTCTGCTTGTTGCTGCCCACGTCGACGGATACGGCCTGCCACGGGCCATCTGGACCGTAGGCCTGCGAGGACCAGCTCATTACATAGGGATTGGATGCAGAAGAGGTCTGCAGAAATACCCCCAATAGGGGGAGAAGTAGCGGTCGCATCATATCATGGATACTTCAGCAGGCATTAAACAGCCTGCGATGGGGAGGGAAGCAAAAGAACAGAAAAAGGAAGGGAGAAGCTGCGAGACGAAGGATGACTGCTGGCCGAGGGTGAGATTATGAAACGAAAGAATGCGACCGGGGCACATTGCTGCAAGGCGGGCGATGGTGATGGCCTCGCAGGCCTGGAGCGGGTTGAAGGATTGGGTTTGGGTGTTGGGACTCCGCTGACATGCAGCTCAGCCATGCCTAATGAGGCATAAGAGATGTTCATCCGATGGGGATCGGCCCCAAGAGATGCTGAGAAGAGCTGAAGGATGCTGTTGTCAGATTTCCAGGTGGTCAGAAAGCGCAACTTTGGGGGTTATTCAGGGGGGATAAACTTCCCCAACTGGATTCAGTCAGAGAACAGAAAACAAGGTCTACTATTGCTCTGTTTTGAGGGTCTGTCTATCATAACAACCACCCGCAAAACCATTGATATAACAAGAGATGGTGGGATTTGGAAATCAAATCCGATGGCCGGGAAGGGGGTGGGGGCACCAACGCAATCGGAATGCTGGATGGATCAGCCATGAACCAGTCAACTCTTTTGGCCCCCAAGTTGGCTCCCCCCAATCTTCAGTGGAGAGGGGCTGGTTATCCCCTTTGATTTGTTGTTTGTTGCCATTCATATCTGTGATGACTGATGAGAAGTGGAATGCCTGATTTTCCCACTAGTTGTTTGCTTCCCCGTGGAAAATTCGACACGTCCAGCGTCCAGCTGGAAGGCACCACGATTTCAATTCATTTCCCTGCGGCAGCCACATGGGACGCCTGACATGTTACCTTTTCCTTATCAGGCATAGACCTGAAGCTTGGTGTTAAAGCCAAATTGACGGGATGCCAAAAATTGGTTGGCTGATGTTCCCTCGGGATAAGCGAGCATGTCGGATATTAGCCCTCGGTCCAGACCTATCTAAGTAGTCTAGCAGCCTCTGCATAAACTTCCATACCTTCACAAGTCACAACAGCTCTGCTGCAGTGCTGGCAGCCATCCTATGTTCGGTCGCAAAATGCACGGACCTAATCCAATTGCTCCACCATCAACGGACATCTCTCCGACGCCGGGCTATTATCGTCTGCTAGTTTAATCAGTTCGACAAGCTAACTGACTAGCTAACTGGTCTTGTCGAATTCCACGAGATCCATCACATGTTCATAAATCTCGGTTGCTAATTACCCCGTACTTTACTCTCCTACATTCACACTCTCTCCCTTCCTCATTCGACACTTTTTCTTGCTATTTATCACTCAAAATTATTCATAATATTCTCTTCCTGCTCTTTCCCTTCTATTCCTGTTATAAAGATTTAGATGAATACTAGAGCTGAGTAGCTTTTATGTACAAACAACTATATCTCTCAGGCTTGATTACTGCGCCGCATAGATGGTCAAAATGATGACCCCTCAAGCGATAGTATTCCAGCGTATGCCCAGTAGATTGTAATATATCAAGGTCAGAACACGAGAGAGAGAGAACAGAATGAAACAATTAAAGTGGAACCCAGCACAAAACCAACTTACGAACTGCAATATACTCTATCACGGGCAATAATCCACCTCACCCTCACACCCCGTCCACTCAAAGTGCGCCACATCCACAATCCTCCTCAAAGTCCGCGGCTCCAAAAGACTTCTCGTGATATCAGCCAGCCACGCTGCATGCATCGTAGACGAAGATCGACATACTCCATACCGGAAATCCAACTCCGCTCGCGTCTGCCCTACCCTAGGAGCCTTCTTCCCTAAAGTCCCATACGGGGCCAACGCCTGCAAAAGCCCCCGATACGCCCGCCGATGGTCCCTTGACCGTGATAAACATTCATCATGCTTCCCAACCTCAGAGACCTGCGTACTTACCTCATACACCTTATGATGCGAGCTCATCACAGCCCAATTACAAAACGCCATCAAGACATACGCGCACGTCGAATTCATCTGAACGACAAGCGTAGCTGTCTCAAGACACTCGAACATCACCCGGTCCAAGTACTCGCACAGATTTCCTCGTACTCCGCGTAACACAACATTCTCCCGCTGCTTCCGCGCAGTATCGCTGCGGAGGTCCACCAGGTCATTGATTAGCGTGCAGGCGATACTCAACAACGTGTACTCTGTCTCATTGACTTGCCGCTTCGTCCACACCGAGGCAGACGCCACAGCGAAGAACAGTCCTAGGTCGACGTACCGGTGAGCCGTCAGGCTGGTCATCCGGCTTCCGTATACACCTGCCGGTAAACGGCCTCGTGCATGGTCGCGGTAGTATCCGAGGACACGGAAATGCAGCATTGAAGCCATCATGTTATCGAATGCCCACTCTGAGAAGAGTCCTGAGAGCACGCAGAGCTTGAGGAATGCTACTGCGGCTGCGCCAGTCTGCTGTAGTACCTTCAGGGTTGCTTCATCCGCTACCTCGCAATAATCGGCGACCAGGATATCATTACCTGCGTCTGCAATGGCGCGTATCAGCCCGTCATGTGCGGGATCACTATAAATGGCGCCGAGTACGAAGTAGTACTTGGCATCGGTGCAGAATTTGACGTCTTCCGCTGCGGGGTAGAGTTGCCGGTGGATGACATCAACGGTGTCATTTTGGGGACTTGGCCGACGATCTGGGGCTCGTATCTTGTGCAGGTTGGTCAGTTCTGCTGGACCCTGGCATGTCGTTGGAGGATCTTGCACATTGACATTGGCCAAGAGAAGCTCGGTTACCGCTTCGATAAGGTTTCGCGGCGAGAAGAGGGATGTCGTATTCCATTCGGACTTTCGCTTGAGGACGGCTTGAAGCGCCTGGTGGGTATTTTGGATGGCAGTGCAACTGGCGCGTTCGACAATGCAGGTGATGTCTGCATTAGCTGGGACTGGGTAAAGGCCGCTGCAAGTGCAATTTGAGTTTGGATTGTAATTTGTTGACGCGAGGTTGGTCACGCTGCAGCTGGGGGCGTCGACGCCACCAAGGGGCATCTGCCCGTTGGCCAGGGATCGGCGAAATGACGAAGCCACCCTTCTGAGAGCGCTGTAGCTTGGGAGAGGTGAAGAACTTTCCTGGAGGAACACTTCAGCTTGTTTAGTAGGGGTTAGATCGGTAGTGTTTTGGTCGGGGATGGGATCAGGCAGAGAAAGCCATATGTTGACCCATGAGAGATAGAAAGAATGGTGTATCTTGGAAATTGGCTTGCCGATGATGTTCCCCATGGTGTGTAATAGATATAAGTAAGATAAGAGTCTTATGATTGGTAGGAGCGAGGCATAATGATGTCCAATACCTTATGGGGCACTCATGGCACCCTTTTATACCATAGCAACGATCATGCTGGCCATATCCAAGGTCAGTACTTCACCAATCTTTCATCTGCAACGGTCATATAAAGGTCATGAACCTTGTTTGGCAGCATTACAAGTGTCAGCTTAGTTGGCAAAGATGGATCGTCAATTTCCCTGTCGGAATAAAGTGCCTCCAGAAATGACAGCCAACGAGATCGCATGTAGGGCACCCTTTAAGCATAGAAACCGGGCACAGAGTCTGGATAGAAGAGAACTATGCTTCTTTCGTGTTCCAATTGGCTTCCAAGTGAAAAGTTTCAGCTTCCGGTGCCATGAATGGCAAGGCTATGTCCCATTTGAGCGCGGTGACACAGACTGCAGGTCCTGCAAGGGCCCAATTAGAGTTTGTCTCGAAAGGACATAACCAGCTGGCACTGCGTATTAGGCGTAGGCGGCAGCTGAACAGTTTCTGCAATCTGCAAAGTTGCCCCTTCACCGCATAGATATTGTTCGATGTATCCTGCCGCCAAGCTAGCACGGCCCCACTGCCTTGGAAAGGGCAAAATAGGGTGCAGAGAGCTGAAGAATGCATGTTCATCACACGGAACCACTCCACTGTTCAGCTGGACATTTACTCGGTAGAAACGGTCTGGTGTGTTGCATGTCAGTGGATATAAACCCACTTCAATTGCCAGTCATTTCTGGATCTATCATGCCCTCGGACAACAACCACAACATAAGCAATATGAACAAGGCGGAAACTCCATCGGATTACTTCTCCGATCTCCACTCAATAGCCGCGATTGGTTTGTCGCCAGCATTAGTGGGGATCATTCTGGGCGTTTATACGCTCTGGTATTTGGCAGTTCCTGCATTGAAAAAGCAGAATACCACCGGCCAGCCACCTATTGTCGGATACCGAAGCCTTTGGGAACCTACCTGGTTAGTGCGACTTCGATTTATCCGGGGCAGCAGAAGGATCATTGGAGAAGGATATGAGCAAGTTAGCAATCACAATTCAAAATTTCGTTCGGACATTGCCAATTGACCTCCCTTTCAGTTCAAAGATACCATGTTCAAAGTGCGGCGAGTCGGAACCGATGTTCTGCTCGTCTCCAGCAAATACATGGATGAGATTCGTACCTTGACCCGCGATGCTACGGGGTCTGTGCCCCCTCTCGTCCAAGACTACCCTGGTGAATATACGCATGGCATGCCCTTCTTGCGTAGTGATCTGCAAAACCGAGTCCTTCAACAGAAACTTACTCCAAATCTGCCCTCTTTGGTCCCTGTTATGATTGAGGAGCTGAAATTTGCCATGCAAATGGAGATGCCCAAGTGTGCTGGTTTGTGATCCTGTCGTTTCACACCACAAACAGTTTGCTAACTGATACCAAAAGACGAATGGACTACGATCGACATCATGCCAATCCTCTCGCGAATCATCACCCGCATTACCTCCCGCATATTCCTTGGACCTAAGGAGGGCCGTAATGAAGAGTGGCTTAGAGCCACCGTGGAATACACCAAGAACCTCTTCCTCACGGGCATGGCATTGCGCTTCTTCCCCCGCTTTCTCAGGCCCCTTGTCGCTCCACTGCTACCGTCCTACCACCATCTATGGCAGAATGTGGCAACATCTCGTCGCATAGTCGGCGAGATAGTACGTGAACGTAGAGAAATCGAGGCTGCAAAGCCGGCAGGCTACGCAAAACCTGCAGACATCTTGCAATGGATGATGGATGCAGCCACCGGCCAGGAAGCAGAGCCCGAGGATTTAGCCCAACGGATGTTGATTCTAAGCGTGACATCCATTCACACCACAACATTAACCATGACTCAAGCTATCTATGATCTCTGTGCGCACCCAGAATATTTGGCCCCCCTTCGAGCCGAAGTGGTAGATGTGCTACATGCCGAAGGCGGCTGGGGCAAGTTGACGGTCAACCACTTGCGCAAAATGGACAGTCTACTGAAAGAGTCGCAGCGTTTTAATCCCGTTTTCCTGCGTACGTCACAACTGCCCACTCTATCACATGCCCATGACTAACAACATCAGTAACCTTCAACCGAATCCTCCCAAAATCAATCACCCTCTCCAACGGAGTCTCCATCCCAGTCGGCTCCCGCATTGCTGTCCCCTCTAATGCCATGTTGAACGATCCCTCTAGAGTGCCAGGCGATGGGTCAACTTCCTTCGACGCCTTTCGCTACTCGCGACTGCGCGAGGAACCAGAGAATGCTCAACGACACCTCTTCGTCATGACCGATCATAATAACCTCGCTTTTGGCTACGGGAAGTTCGCATGTCCTGGCCGGTTCTATGCCGCTAATGAAATGAAAATGATGCTGGCGCATATGCTCATCTGCTACGATATGAGGTTTCCGGATGGGTGTGGCAGGCCTAGGAACTTTACTATTGACTCGGATATGTATCCCGATCCTGCTACGCGGTTGCTTATTAGGAAACGGTCTGGAGTTGAGGAGGGTATGGAGGAGCTTCTAACGTCAGTTGCTTGTATGGCTGTTTGATTCTGTTTGTACTTGTGAGACTGGAGAAAATGAAGGGCAGATTGACTGAATCGACTGAGTTTAACGTCTTACGACCAGGGAATTGGGAGACTGAATCGTTGCTTCACATGTGAATGTATCTCTTTGTTCGGTGGCGTACAATATACATAGCTACCTGAGTCGAAGTTTGTCGGTCGTATTCCATCTATACACTGGCTGGCCCATTTGCAGTCAGGAACCCAAAATCAGCTCCCAGATGCGCCTGGTTGACCTCCCGCTCATAAAGCCCCCTATATCCCCTTGTATGCTGTCTCTTCCTCCACGTCGACTCCTCCGACCCCGTGAGTGCTTGCTTTCGCTGTTTGATCCTTTCCTGAAGTTCCTCCTCACTAATATCCAGTTGCAGCAACCTAGCCTCCACATCACAGACAATCACGTCGCCCGTTTTAATAACACCGAACGGCGACTCCGGTACTGCAGACTCAGGAGAGATGTGCAGAATAATGGTCCCCCCAGCCGTGCCAGACATTCTCCCGTCTGATATTCTCAACATATCCGACACTCCCTGAGCTGCCAGTTTGCGCGGAATCGGAATCATACCCGCTTCAGGCATCCCGGGGTTCCCAATCGGTCCGATGCCTCGCAGAACGAGTACAGAATCAGCAGTCACCTCAAGCTCAGGATCATCCAGTCTCTTAGCAAGATCCTGGGGGTTCTCAAACACCACTGCAGGACCTCTATGCCGTAGGAGGCGTTTATCTTTGGAAGCGGATGCCTTGATAACGGCCCCATTGGGGGCTACATTGCCCGCCACAACGACCAATGAAGAAGACGGGCAGAGCGGGTCGGAGAGTGTTCGGATAATTTTGCGCGAATACTCGAAGTCCCGGAACGGCGTTCGGTTTAGTATGTCTCCTATCGTCTCGCCCGTAATAGTCATCGCGGCTTCACGAAGTAAAGGTCGCAAGCGATGCAGAAGACATAGCATTCCTCCGGCGTTATGGAAGTCGGTCATATAATTGTCTCCGCTGGGCTTCAAGTCCACTAGGAGGGGGGTGGTTCGGCCGATTTCATCAAGTGTCTTGAGGTTGATTGTGCCGATGAGATCAGGGTGTCGGTTAATAATGGCCATCAGGTGAACCATGGCATTTGTCGAGCCACCAATGGCCTGGAGAACAACAGCGGCATTGTAGAATGAGTCGGTTGACAGGATCTGTCGTGGTGTTCTCTTCTCTTTCGCAGCGGCTACTGCGTTAGCACCTGTCTGTTCCGCTATACGCAGTCTTGCAGCTGAAACAGCTGGTGCTGAAGCGCCCTGCAAAGGAGTAAGTCCTAAGGCGGCGGTGATACACGCCATTGTGCTTGCTGTGCCCATGACACCACACGTTCCGATCTATGAACAATTAGCTGTGATCTATGTGAAGAAGGCAGGTTGAAGCGAACCGTTGGCGCGAGCTCCTCATTAATGGAGGTAATCTCTTCGACGTCTATAGCTCCAGCTCGAAAAGAAGCCCAATTGTTTCTACAATCGGTACAGGCTCCAATTCGCTTCCCTCTGTGACTTCCAGGCATCATTGGCCCAGTCAACAATGGCAAAACGGGCTTGTTTGCCGATATTCCTCCCATAATCTGGGCTGGGACCGTCTTGTCACAACCTGCAGGTTTTAGCATCATTCGACTCATGGGGAATAGATGAAATACCTCCAATCATAATACAAGCATCGACCGGCTGAGCACGGATCATTTCCTCCGTATCCATACTCATCAGATTTCGAAGGAACATACTCGTCGGATGCGAGAATCCCTCGTGTAGACTAATGGTCGGGAAGTCGATGGCAATACCACCGTTAAGATGGATGCCTCGCTTGGCGGCTTCGATCAACTGCGGAGTGTTGCCATGGCAGGGGTTGAATCCAGAGCCGGTGTTAATTATGCCAATTATAGGACGTGATAGCGCATCCTCTGAGTATCCTAGTGCTTTGATGAATACCTTCCTCAGGAACAGAGAGAAATGGGCATCTCCATATGATGTCAGTCCTTGTCGCAAACCTGTGGTAGAGGTGATTGGTTGCTGGAGGTTGTAATCCTGGTTCTCAGGCTCTGTTGCTTCCATATTTCCGGTCATGTTTTCTTACAAGATCCTTTGAAACAAGTTTGGATAAGTGTTTCCTCGCATTGACGCTGTTCTGGTGTGGGATTTATAAGGATGACAATGATGGCATTCGGCAAAGCATCATAGCCGAAGTCTACGGAGTAGCTCCGTCGGATGCGGCAGCGAGCCGATGCCCTGTGCGGACATCACGCCAGACTGTACCATTGCGTGGTGGTGGGGTTGAGGGTGAAGATTGCCCGTAGGAAATGTCGGTTAGGAAGAGGAGATTTAGGGATTGGATGTAGACGGGGCGTTCGAGAAAGGAGTCGAGTGGTTTGCCGCGCTTTTGGTTGATCGATTGGGGGGTGTTTGGCGGAGGGTTTGGGGAGGGTGGTCCAGGTTGGGGGTGTTGTTGTGGTGGTTGTGGTGAGAAGGGGTGTGGATAGAGTCATGATGGAGTTATTGGGGTTAATGTTGTGAAGTGTATTGATTGATTGAGGTAGTGTATATGGGGATGTTGATGTTGATGTTGTAGATATAGTATGACTTGCATGTTCATCGGATAATGTAGTGAGCGGAGCGCATCCGTGTTCGGGGACGGAGTCGATCCGCTGCTGGGAATAGCACTATCTCGCTCTACCTTCTATTCTCCGGAACCTCGGTATTTGTATCCATGAAAGATATCCAGTGTAGCGCTTCTCTTATTTTACCCTCTTTGGTCCATTCTATTCCAGTTTATCTCAAGTTTCCAAGGCTATGCTGCTCCTGTGTGGTAAAAGAAGCATGTTGATGGAGGCTTTTCGAGATCATTCAACCCTATAATTTGGCAATCACAATTCAATAGTGTTTCCGTTGGGAGTAACAAGCAATACTTCAGGAATAACTTCTTTTTAATGTCGATGATGTTGCTTGTATATTACTACAAATTGTATATTACTAGAAAAAGTTTTTCTCCGAAGAATAGATAGTAATAGTAACTGCAGACAAAGGCCAGGTCGAGCTCCCTTTAGTCTCTCCGATCCCGACAGCATAGCCGATTGTTTGGACTCCCATAGATTAGATAGGAGTTTGGGTATAACCTTGTTGTCGGAATTATGACCCGTAATCTTCTTCAAGAGAGATCAAAGATATCGTTGTAAGAAAGTCATAAGGCTATCTGTAGTGCTGATCTAAGAATACTTCAATGCCATGAGCCTTAATCACCTATTTGAATGGGAAACCAATTCCTAATTTGTTAGTAAGAAAACCTTCTCTTTTTAGGTAAGACTTTCAGTTGAAGAGATTCATCCGTGAGTGCATTTGTGAGGGTTTGTTGTGTCACATGCGCTGGTGGTGAAACTTTACTGTGACACATCACGGGGGATATGCCGAGAATAGTTAGAAGCTATATAGTTCCTGAGACAGCAGATGCCCGACGCGGGATGAGCAAGCTTTCCTGGACCAGCTGCATCCTTACTTTCTATGAAATAGTGCGATTACCGCGGTTAGGATATATACACTACACAACATATGGTCTTGATACTAATGCAGAAATCTCATTGCATTCATTGGCTCTATAACTCATCTAACCCGGTTTTTGTCCATACACGACTTGTCTGCGAAGTGTTAGAAGTATGCCAGTAAGTACGGAGGAAGCTCACCGACATTTGCAAATATCCCTCAATCTTACCCTTTAGTGCCCGACGCGCAGAAGCGCACATTAGCACAGTTTCCGTGAAGTTCTTCCCAAGATGCTTCTCCAGTAGTGTGAAGCTGTACCCTTCCAGCCCTGTCGTCCAGTTTTGTATGATTCTTTCTTTCAGTTTATCGCGGCCCTCAGTGCACAAAGGTATGTCGTAATTACGTTCAGTGACGTTGGTAAATCCATGCCGAGTGAGTTCCGCTCCGAAGTGAAGAGGAAGATCCATCTGGCGACCATCTCTGGCCTGGGCTGTCGCCATCTCCCGGATGTAATTGTGGAATGGGCTATCTTCTCCAGGGTTATCCAGCTGCACTCTCATATCACGTATCTCCACCCAACCGCCTGGAGCGCAGCAGCTAATATTATGAGTTAGTCTAGCGGACAAAATCCCTACTGATAGAGCACTTACCTATATGAACCTTCCAGTAGGAGCGACAAAAGCTGGCGATCACCCTGAATCTGATTAATATGAACAAGGTCGATATTTGTGTATTGGGTATGCCAACCTGGTTGGCAGAGGTTGTCGACCCAAAACTCGCAGTTCGGTGGTACCCTGTATCATTAGTGGGATGAAGTTGAAAGCGCCAAGCCTCAAAATGAAGACATACCATTCATCTTGCATATTTACTAAATCAATGCCGCGAACCTAACTGGTCAGTTTCACTTCTTCAACGCGGGCCATAATCAGACTTACAGTCGACGAAGGATATCTTTCTGCTGTACGATATTTTAGTTTTTGATTGGAGAAAACTGGGGGGGGGTACGGCTTGGACGTACCACATTCCATAGCCCAGCAGCCAGTGCCGGTGCGGATATCAAGAACATTTCGCGGACACTCTAGAGGGGCGAGGTATAATCTATCCGCGAAAAGCTCACGCAGCAAAACGTGTTGTTCCTCTACTCAAAAATCAGCTGAGAATATTATGTTTTAAAGGATAACCCATACCGAGTCTGTCTTTCTCTATCTTCGACTTATTAGCTGCCACATTCCCAATGCAGGCAAGGGGCTCACCTCGTCAATCGGCCACGGGTGCTGCTCCAAATGTGTCAAGGAGTAGCGCCGGCCATGTCTGTACAGATTCGGATGAGGTTCAGTGTCAAAACTCTCTGTCTCTCTGTCTTTCGGTCAGTGGTTGTTGCAAATAGTGATCAAGACATCAATACGTACTCCCGCTCTGATTCATGGTCCAGTGTGTCTGAGTCTGACATATTGTCTCCCATAGTTGTAAATACCCACTTTCTAAGTGACTAAACACCAGAGCAAAGAGAATTTCCCTTTTCCAATCCATGGGTCTAACAGTATTTAAACTTCAAGATAGAATCACGACATTTACTCTGCGCCTGTCACTTGGAAGAAAAAGGTTCAGGCACGAACCGCGGAAGCGCATCCACTTCCGATAAGGTTCGGTGTGTCTCGGGATTTGCATCGGTATTCGAACAACCTTACTCCGGATTATTCCAGCACCTGCAGGAAATAACTGCCTTACAGCAGTCATCCATTCACCCATCATACTATATTCCTTGTGGCGCGGCTAGCGGAGCAAGTGACTGAAGTCCCACAACGGAAAGAGCCGGGGCCTGAGCGGTTGCTATTTCAGTTCGACTGCATATTGTCGCTTCCTTTTCATACCTAGGGCATCTACTTGAGTGACACGATGTCAATGGAACTTTTACACTCACCCATCACACCAACCCATCACGAGATGACGGAAACTTACATTCGACTGAGCACTTGAACTCTCTGTAGAGCACAGACTCTATAGTACAGCTTGATTCGAAACCAGACCGAGTCTATTCAGGCACATCAATGCGCCCTGATCACTAAGATGCAGGGCACAATATCAAACAAAATAAGGACAAGGCCCGAGTTATCTCCAGTTCACCCGATGACCCATCGGGGATCACCCGCACAGCACATCGGGAACCATCGATCAAGCTTGTTTTGTGCTTCTATCGTGCAGACGCCACCTATCATTGGCGGAACGCGCAACCGGAAGGGTCGATATGCAAGGTTAGCTCATCAGTGGGCCTTGGGCGCGATTCTATCCTTTAAGAGGAAAAAGGTAGCCGATAGATAAACTGTGGACAATAGGGCGGTCGATCATTACTAGCCGGGGTCTGCAGGATTTGCCACGCAAGTTGAGGCTATATCATGTGCTTTTATAACGGCTATAGCTGCCAAGCATAGGCCTAGAATCAGCCTTCTTTTTCACAGGGGACTTTTGTTCTAGATTTTTCTTCTTTTCGTTGATGAATATTTATGTGTCGGTATTGGGTGAAAATAACCTTATTTTCGTGATTGAAAAAACGAAATGTGAGATCATGCTTTAACGATCGCTGTGACTAGCCAGTAGAGGGTTTTTCCATAAGGGCAAGGATATTGACACTATCTTTAGTCGGAAAAGCTATTGAGACATGTTAGGTCTCTGGATTTGTATAGAACACAACGCCCTTATTTACTTCTCATCCTGCGCCCTGAAGAAAATAGTACTGGGGCTGAAGCTCTACTAGTTCTAGCCCACTCTGAGGCGGGATCTAGGCTTTCCCGGGCCTTAGAGGATAAGCCTCCCTTGATGCTTGATTTGAAGTAATCCACCTGGTATAATCAACGAGTTCAGGCAAGTGGGTGTGTTCTAGTTGGCGTAAAGGTATATTAGGGCTGCGTAAGGACGGCGGGGCTGTGATGCAGGGTTCAGAAGAGCATGATAGCCGAGCCAGGCGACCACCCGCTTAAGCGCTGGGGTTAGTGAGGCTGTGGCTCAACTTACTACACGAAACTGGACGAAGAGTAACTTTAATGAAGCTAATTAGCTTGTTACTTAGTATGGCGTTTTGATGGAATTACGGTTACGGCTCGTTTATGAATTTTGCTCGCACGGGACATCCCATCACAATTATATTTCCAATTATAGCCTCAATTAAATAGTATAGACAAACTATAAATCTATAGTCACCTTCGCTGATGTCTCCACATTCGGGCTGGACAGGATGAAAAGTCAATAATCACCACGATGCTTCGCTGGATCTTTGACTTTTTCATTGCCAAGGAGCCGCAGTCCCGCTTGCTATAGACCAGGATTGCCAGGTTCCCTATGTCGAGGTCAGTATCCTATCCCGATTGTGTTAATCAACGGACATAAATCCTGGACACTGGAGTATTACATCGCAGATGCTCCGATTGCCGTGCTTTTTATGCTTGAAACTGACCTCACAGATCAGGGAAGCACGTCATATCCTGCTTCGCCTGTGAATAAATTCTGACCGAGCAGATGTCAAGATTCCCCCATTGCCAGTCAGGACTTACTTGCAGATTGCCTTAGTGGAACCAGCCTAGTCCTCTCCCTTTGACAGATGCCAGATATCTTTATTATGAAAAATGAACAAACACGTGGGCGTAATCCCCTTATATTTTATGCTGATAATCATTTCCTCGCTGTGGAGATTCCCAAATTCACGCAGACGAAGGGATGGCAATAGCAAGTGCAACACAACAGCAAATTGACCTCAATTCGCAGATCTCTCGTCGATATAGCGACCTGCTTCTTTCTTTTGAGAGTTGGTAGGTTTGTTCTATGTTAAACACAGCCTGACATATCAAGCGAGATTGTCGCTGCCAGTGACTGTGTCAAAGCCACCCGGTTCTCAACATTCTCCGTCGGAGTTTGTCAACGCGGTTTACTTTCCGCTAGACGATTGTAGGTACTGAGTACACCAATATCCGCTCTGCGTAGTTTCCAATACCAGGCCACAAGGACGAGTCCGACGAACGTTTACAGCCCTCACGACGACAGTCGCAAGGGATAGGGTTTCCACTATAATATAAATGCGCGCATTCGTGCAAGTAGTCGGCTTACCCTTCGCAGAGGTGGCGCTGCTTCGAATACCAGAAAAGTTTTTCCACATAGCATTGGTATTGCATATTAGAGTCTCACAACCCCACAATATGCGACATAAGCCTGACAAGAGCAATCTGGCGATGGTGGTGGGTAGCGCCGCTGACGCGAGAAAGGCGAGCCACCGATTCTGACAATGTTGGTAATTCCTTGTCGCCTCGTTAGCTCAAATAGATGGTTTCAAATTCGCGATCTCTGCAGATATCTCATCCTGTGGTGGACTGGCGGCATGTTCATCGCGGTAAAGGGGCGCCACCCGTCTTATGCAGAGGTGAAGTGGAACTTCGCTGATCCTTAAGTTCGTCAATGCGCAGCCAACAATGGGCAAAAGAACGGACGCTATCTCAAACTCTTTGTCTGTAAGTGAAAGCCTGAGGGCTCTTCGAACCCTATCTTAGCTATCATAGTTGTAAAAGAGTGTTTTGGCTTCGGTCACTAGTCTTTGAATGTTCCCATTGGGACGCAACAATGCCTTTCGCAAAGAACAATCCCTCCAGGACCAATTACATTCGATAGCCACTGTCAACCAAGAGGGTGTATCGATGGATGGCATGGTAGTCGTCATCCGCCTCGCCCAAAATCTGTCGAAATAGCTTGGAAATACTCGCCCTTTCTTCCTCATCTGCCTCGATGCCTTGTAGCACATATCCATGCACATTTCTGGCCGTGGCGGTGATGTCGGCTAAATGCCTGGTCCTCGTCTGTACTTATGGCTTGCACCTCCATGATAATCGGGTGCGCGACTCGGTGCAGTGTCATACCTTGGTCGCAGGTATTGATTGTCGATGAATACTCGCGGAGCACGCATACCGACGTCCAGTTTCCATGATCTCGGTAATTCTATGACGCCCATATTATTTTTGAGCGTTCTGGTTAATGCATATTAGGTCCAACCAGTTAGCCATTATCGATGCTTGCGGCGGCGATAGTAGACTGTATGTTTGCTGTGAATATCGGATGACTTTGAATATCTATGCTTTCTGTGTATCATGCTCTTCAGTCGATGCGATCATTTTGTTTCGCTGATGAATCTCATAAGAGTCGCAGTTGTAAGTGACCGACTAAATCGTCCACTGCTCGGAGTATCAAGATATCCTAGACCAGTTCCTATTCAGGTCAGGCTCGCTGTCCGTTGCCGTAGTTCCTCCACAACTAGGTAGCATGTTTCTGTCATTGGGCTATAGATTGCGCTCTCTTTTGTTTCAAGGAAATGTCTCGGCTATATCAATCGATAATCGAGGCGATTTCGGTGGCTACTCCCTGAATACCTGTGGATGTCTAGTCGGTTAGCGCTTTTTCCATCATGGTGTCAGTAGGTCCATTCCGTTTCATAGGTGTCTTTGCGTGCGGAAAACCGAGAACACAAGATATTCTGGACTATGCGCAGGAGATAGTTCAGTCTGGTCTTTCATTTGTTTGCTCCCTTCGCAACCTTACCCTTATCATAGCAAAAGACGCGCTTCCATAAGACAGAGACTGTGTGTCTAGATACAGTCAGTTCACAAACCTGCTGCATTAGACAACAGCACGAAAGACGAAGTTCCCTTGGACTCTGCGGTATGTTCCTTCCTTCCATAACAATAATTCGACCATGTGAACAAAGACCATATTCAACGCAGCGGTTGATATATGGTTTGTGGATTCAATGCATGCTAGGCCTTGTATGCACGAATCATCCTCATAAGGGGGGTTAAAGAGGCTATCAAGTCGAGATTTTCTCACAGCCGACAATGGACTAACCACTGCTTTCCATATCAAAGCACCAGCAGAGTCTCACAGCAACCGTAGTCCATGAATATAACATGGTTTCATTGTAAGTCCGTCGAGACTATGTGCAACTCATATTCATGAGACGTAGACCATCGCAGGAGCCTTAAGAGGTTGGTTGTCCCACTTGGGTTTCTCACCCATTCTGCGCATCGAATGACGAAACTAGGTCTTGTAAAAGCTCGTCTAAGTCAACAGCTCAGTCCAGGTCCAGGTCCATTCATATGAGAGACTAGAAGACAGTCCAACTTTTCAAGGAGCTCGCCATCATGTTTGTGCAGGATTTGGCTTCTCGCGCACTTGGCATAACACGGATCCACAAGTTCTTATGGCATAAGCTCCAAAATTATAACGCAGTTTAAACACGAGGATTGATTTAAGAGATATGCTGTCGATCCCGCAGTGATGCGATTTCTTCATCGAGTGTAGCGAAAAAGATGGCGGCTGTGAAAATATGTCCATATTTGTATTTCCTGCAGTAACTGTATACCACGTCAATGTCAGTATTGTTCTCTGAAGCTGTAAGCTATACCAATACATACATAGGATCTGGCGTTTGAA